GCACCAACTATTTGTAGTGATGCACGTGGAGCAAAAACCTAGGTATTCCCTTCAAAAAATTCATCATAATTGCTGCTGATTTCAATAAAAATAAATAAATAGTAAATAAATAAAAAGTAAAATAAAATAAATAAATCAAAATTAAAAAGAAAATAAATAAATAAATAAAAGATTAATAAATAACAATTAAATACACAAAAATTGTATAAAAAAAAATAAAAAAAAACAAATAAAATAAAAATTAAATAAATAATGAAATAAAAAGTAAATAAATAAAAAAAAAAAAATTAAATAAATAATGGAATAAAAAGTAAATAAAAAAAAAATTAAATAAATAATGGAATAAAAAGTAAATAAATAAATAGTAAATAAACAAAAATTAAACAAATAAAAAGTAAATAAATAAAAATTACATAAATAAATATTAAAAAAAAAATAAAATACATATAAATATATATTTTTATATAATTAAATTAAAAATTATATAAAAATAATCCCCATTTCTACAAATATTTCTAAAACTAACTCAAGGGTTTTCTTCATTCTATTTTGTGAAATACCATTCCCATTAACCGCAGCCCTATTACCTTCTAGTTCCAAAAATAACCCTAATTGAACCCAATTAATGGTGGTTGTAGTACCTGCCTTATTTTCTCCCTGTGCACGACCATTCCCGTGGGCGCTTTCAGCGACAGGCCGCCGACAGATGGACTGCGTATGGGATGAGGTCGAGTGGTTGGGACTGCGTCTATGCCCTGGGCGCCGGGCACTGGGCTCACGGCTTGGAATACTCCTGCCTGGCGGCATATAGAAACCAACTCCCGATGCTCCTATGCAGGGTGGAAAAATTAAATAAAATAGAAAAATAAAAATTAAATAAATAAACTTAAAGTTAAATTTAAAAACTTTAAATAAATAAAAATATAGAAAATAAAAATTAAATAAAAAATATGAAATAAATAATATTAATAAAAGATAAAAAAAAATAACAATTAAAAAATGAATTACAAATTAAATAAACAAAAAATTTTATATATACAAAATTAAAAAAAAATTAAATATAAAATAATTAAAATTAAAAAAATAAAAATTGAATAAATTAAAATTAAATAAACAAAAATTAATTATTAAAAAAACAACATTTACAAAAAAAAAACCAAATATATAAAAAAACTTTAAACAATTAAATTTAAATTTAAATTTTTCAAAAATAAGTTTTTACTTGTGTTGTAATATATCCTTTTTGAAATAGATCACTAAGATCACTTGCTCACTAAAATGAACTTCTTCACTCTATCTGTCTCTCTGAAATGCTCTTGTTCATTCTCTCATTAAAATGAACTTATTGATTTGCTTACTTAAAATAACTCACTCATTCTCTTACTTTAAAAAACTTTTTCCTTATTTCCCAAAAGAAACCTTTTTATTTTCTATCTAAAAAAATGTATCAGTCATTAAAATTAGATCTTCACTGTCTCACAGATATTAACTTTTGTTCACTTTCCCGCTAAAGTAAACCTGTTCATTCCCCGCCAAAGTGAACTACATACTTCCTCCATCTCCCTAAAATAACATAAACGTTTTAAGCCAAGTAATCTAAGGCCTTAAAGCCTAGTTTTTTATTGTATTTTCTCTCTCTGTACTCCTTGGGTTCAATGCCCGCCCACATGGCTGGGCGGTGGAGTTGGAATACGTGACAGGTGGCACCTGGAGCCTGGCGCTGGATCTGGAGCCGGAGGTGAAGCTGGAGCCCAGGCCGGGCACGCCGTTCCACTTGAGTGCGCTTTGCCGTGGCCCGTTTATGGGCCGCTGTCAAATTAATTGGCTTTTCCGGCTTGGACTTGGTCTGGGCCCAGCTTCAGCTCCTGCTCCTGCGGCTACTCCTGTTGCCGGACCCCAATGGGGACTCTTTGCTTGGCTGACAACTCATTTCCTCGCGTCTCGATGAAGGCGTCGTCGACGGCCTTCGATTTGCCCGGATGCCGGCAAACATGCCCATATTCAGTCAAGCGTCCTGTGTCCAGTCTGTGGGTTTGGGTGAGCATTCCGGCTAGAAGCCATAGCCATGACGACACACGCGCCGCGCACTTGCCTGGCGATCAAAGCGGGACCCTCGCAGGACCCTTGCTGGCCTCCCAATCTCAGTCGTGCCTGTGCCTGTGCCTGTCCAGCGCCAAGGGCCATCCATCTAACCATCCAACAAGCCATCCTTCTATCCTTCTATCCTTCCATCCATCCATCCATCCATCCATGTCCACGTCTTGAGTGCTGGCAAGTCCTTGAGTTGTTTTTAGAATGCCTCCAGCTGCGTTTTGATTGCCCCTTTTTTTCCTTGTTGTGAGGGAGACTGAGACTGAAGGTAGTCCTAACCGTCGAGTGTGAGTCCTTAGCCAGGACACAGCTCACTCGGAGTGGGGCAGCAGCATCCCGGCTTGAGTTCCACTCATTTGCAGTGAGGACTCACTCCTCCTACTCCGCCCTTCACTTTCGATTTGAGTGTGTCCCAAGAATTTCCCCTTCCTGTTTGGGACATTGCCCAAATGGTGGGAAAATTGGGAAATTTCTGGCCTACTATTTTGGAAAATGCCCTTCTTTTTTTCAAGACGCTTTTTGTGAAAACTTATTAACGTTTTTAATAAACGGTAGTTAATATCTAATTTGTATATTAATTATTTTTTATTTATTATTTATTATATTTTATTTATTATTATTTTATTTAATATATTATTATATTTTTTTATTATATTTTTTTTATTATATTATTTTATTTAATATATTTTATTTATTATTTTTTAATTTGTTTTAAACATAAATTAATCATATATGAAAAGTTGTTATTTAAGAGTTCTTAAGTATTTTAATACTAATTTATTTTTACTTTACTTTTTCAATTATTTTTAAATCTTAAATTTAAAAAAAAATCTTTTAAAAATTACTAACGTAGTGAATATTAAAAAAAAAAGGTAAAGCTGCTGCTGAAGTTTGTAAAAAACAAGTAAATTATAAAAACATAAGCCTTAAAGCTTATTTATATTTATAAACATATATCGTAAATTTAAAAAGACTTAATTTATAGTAAAAAATAAGCATTTCTGCTATAAACTAAATATTATAGTATTTTGAAATCTATAAAAAACATTTATTGTAAAAGTAGAATAAAAAGGTGAATTTGAGGGTTGAAAAAAAGATATACGGTATTCGTTTTTATAAAAACTCTACTTTTTATATTTATATTATTTATCAGTATTTTTTTTAGTGTATTTATAAATAAAAGTCAATTTTTAATAGTTTCTTTATTTTTTTTTTAATGTTAACTGAATCAAAGCAGTTTAGTTGTCATATTATAGCGATAATTATTTAAAGTTTAATAGTCATTGCTATAAATGTATGTATGAATAAAAAAGTTAACATTCTAGCAACTTGTATATAACAACTTGTATAGAGAATATTATAGCGATAACTAAGGCCAGTTTTATAGTCATGTAAGATATAAGCAGTGCAAGTTATAGCTCTTTTTATAGATATCATTAACAACTTGTATAGAAAAGATTATAGCGATAACTAAGGCCAGTTTTATAGTCATGTAAGATATAAGCAGTGCAAGTTATAGCTCTTTTTATAGATATCATGCTGGACAGCATGACAAACAGCGGACTTAGTGCGGATGGATAGCTTTACCTCTGCAACTTCAACACTTGTTAATCTGACTTCATCATGCACTGGCCAGCGTTTTTCATCATCTTCTCGTTGTTTGCCTTGGCTGCCCCTCAGGTGTTGTTGCGTCGTCGTCAGGTGGTTACACCCACCTGGCTTATGGGTCCTAGCAGTCCCAACTCCAAGGCAGGAGCCCCCAAAGTACAGGTCACGCAGCAGAACCTCAGGGAAATGGCCGCCTGGCGAGCTCTTATCCAAAAGGCTGTCGATGAGGGCACCTATGTGGTGGCCGCACCTCCACCGCAGGTGAGTAAGGGAACAATTGGGAGGAGCATTGTTTTATTTATTTATTATTATTTGGAGTTCATTTGAATTCTTAAAAATAAAGGGTTACAAAAGCAAAACCTACACACTAAGCGTTTTAAGACTTTTAAAAATAAATTTAATATTACAAAATTTTAAAAATACAAAAACAAAACCTAAATATTGTGTGAAATTAAATATTACAAAAAAATTTAATTTTAAATTAATTAAATTAAATTTTAACAAAAAAACAAATCCTGTAAGGAATTAAATTAAAAAAAAAACATAAACTTATCCACCTTAAAAAACTAATTATAAAAAAACAAATCCTAGATCAGAAATTAATTATACAAAAAACCTACACATTTTCAAAAAATTAAATACAAAAAAAAAAAACCAAAACCTACACTTGGTCTTAAATTAAATAAATTATTTCAGAGAAAACTTGTTTAAAAAAAAGTTTTAATTTATTATAAGATTTTATAGTTTATAGCGAGCCTTGGTGGCAGTTTTCCACCACCCTTGCCACAGTTTTGGGCACCTGCCCCCACACCAGCCTTCAACTTTACCTACCTTTGGCCCAGATTAATTATAATTAAATAATTATATTAATAAAATTAAATATGGTTATAATTTATTATAATTAAATAATGATAAAAAATAATTCATTAATTAAATATAATATTTTATAAATAATTAATTATTATTTATTATAATTTAATTATAATTGAATATAATTATAATTAATTATAATTAAAGTAAAATAAATAATTCTGTTTAATTATAATTAAATTAATTAATTAATTATTATTTATTATAATTTAATTAAATATAATTAAATAATAATAAATTAATTAAATCTAACTAAATTTAAATTATGATAAAAAATTATTAATTAATTAAATAGAATATTTTATAATTAATTATAATTAAATTAATATAAATTAAATAATTGATTGAATCGTAACTCTTAACGATCGAAGAGGTGAGGGAAACGCAGAAGCTTCGAGCCACGCCTCTTGAGGAACTGAAAAAAAGGCAAGAAAGATTAGAGAAAGACACTCGTTCGGATTTATAGCATTTCAGGGGGTTTTATTGTTTCCAAAAAAAAAAAAAATCGACAAATCAAATTGGGAGTAATAAATGGTAGAGTGACTACGCTTGAAACATTTTATATATATATATATATATATAGTTTTATAGCAAATACATATCGTTCTTTGTGTCTTTTGTGTGCTGTCTTGTCTTTTTGTGTTTACTGTACAAAATGTATTTCTAAAACTCTACCAAACGAAACAAAAAATACTCTAAAATATATATTTATAGTTAATTTTTAAGTTTACACTAATTAAGGTTTTTGCAAATCAAAGTTAATTACATTTAACATGTTTTTTTAAATATATAATATATGGGGGACAACAACAATCGTGTGTATGTATTCTATAACTATAACCATATACACTACCTATACATATATGTATATAGTAGTGGCATATAGTGGCTATATATATAGCTATGTATATATTAAGGTCTAGGCGCAATATATCAACTTGTTCATCGTTTTAAAAAAAACACATTTCTTCAACTTCTTCGCTGCTTTATAAGTTTTTGTTCCCTTTGCAATGAAAAATGCTTAAAATTGTAACTAACTGATTAATCAGTTTGAAAAAAAAAATTGTTTAATTAAAAAAAAAATGTATAATCGAACTTTAAGTCGACTATTTTGATACCCAGCACAGCTCCGTATAGGTTTTAAATGCAATTAAGGTATGGAATGTCTAGGCTCTTACATTAATAATAATTTTTAATGACTTAATTAAGTGATTTTTAAGCTCTCTTAATTAATGAATTTATGAAATGATTGTAAATATAAAAAAAAAATAGTGTTAAATTTTAGAATATAGTTTTTCAATATTAAATCTATAATCACTTAGCCATGCATTTTCAAGTTTTTAATAGTTTTTTTGTGTTTTTTTTTTTAACTCAAAATATATATTTTTTTTATTTATAAAAAACATATTTTTTCAACACACAGACGGACACTAGTGAAGAGTGCTGAGTTCAAATACAAAATAAGAGTGTTTCAAGTTCAGCTTGGGCTCAGTTAGACTTTAGTTTTAGGTTTAGTTTCAAATTTAGTTTTTAGGTTTTGGTTTTAAATTTAGTTTCAGTTTTAGTTTTAGCTTTAGTTTTGGGTTTTATTTTAGCTTCAGCTTTAGCCTAAGTGGGTTGCAGTTAAGATAAGGCGATCTGCTTCAAAAACCAGGAATGTTATGAAGCAGCAGAGAGAGGATAATGCAGGTGATCAATCGATTGATCGGATTTTACGAAACTAATATGGCTCTCTACGGGCTAACACAACAAGGTGGTGGCTAGTCTCATGGTTGCACGATGTTTTGGTAGTAAGTAAAATTTACTAACCACTTTTATACATATTATATAGAAATATATGTAGTATATGATATATATATATATACATATAATATATAATATATGATATATGTATATAATATATTATATATATACATATATCCATATTCTAATGCCTGTCATGAGGGGGATATACATACATGTAAACGTTCGAAATGTTTGATAAAATTTTAAATTTTGTTAAAAATAATCAAGAAATCGTTGTGAAGATAATTAAAAGGGAAATTGAAGATGATAAAAAAAAAGTTTTATACACAATATTTAACAAAATGGTGGGTCTATGGCATAAAGTACCCCGATCTTTGAGTTTCACGTTGGAAATTCAAAAACAAAAACTATTATTAAAAAATTTTTTTAATTAAAAATACAATTTTTAAAAATTATAAATTAAAAAACTAAAAAAATTTTAAAATTAAAAATAAAAATTTTTAAAATTAAAGTTGTATATCCCATGTATATCCCCCTGTTAATCAAGTTCCTATCACTTTCTATTTCTATAGTTAAATTTTGCAAAGTATATATTCCATAAGTATAATTTTCCTACGACTAAGCAGTAGCTTCAGCTTTAAAACTGAAACTAATATGGAAAATCATACCAAAGCTATGGAAATTCTGTAGTTGTAAAAAAAAAAAATATGATTATATGGTAATGATAATCGTAAAATAGCATTTAATAATACGCGAATGTCCTCTAATTTAAATTGAAATTCAAATTGAAATTCAAAGCAAGCAGCTAGGCCTTCTAAAACGATTCCGATTGTCGCTGCTGTCCGGATGAGGTGGATGACGATGTGGTGGCTACTTCTTGCTCTTGTGGCAGGGTCAGAGGCTGGTCATGTTGATGCTCCTCTAGCTGCTCTAGCTGCTGTTGCTGCTCTAGCTGCTGTTGCTGCTCCAGCTGCTGTTGCTGCTTCTGCTGATGGAGATGTGCGGAATGTGCGTGTGGGATCATACATTGGATGGGTCTTACTTTAGGTCTTATCTAACCTCATCGATATCCTCGCCCTCCGAGGAGCTGCGTATCGTATTGTATTGTGAATTTCGGCTTCGCAGCATTCGCAGAAAGCTGCCAACGGCAAAGATGGTGCGGCGATGTCGGTGGAATATACCCTGGTATAAGGCCTCTCGTAATGTCTTCCGGTCCTCCACATCCACCGACGACGTCAGCGATGTTTGATGAGGCAAACGTGCTATGAATTCAATGATAGCAACAGAGAGAGAGAGAGAGAGAGAAGCGAATTAATAATAAATAATAAATAATAAATAATACAAAATGTGCGCGATAAGGAGGCAACAATCCGGACGCAAGGTCAGATTGCTGGCGCAAACATTAAACGGAATCTATATGGAAATGAGTAAACAAAAGAGGCCAAGAGCGATCGCTGATAAGTTGCGTCTCTGCGAGAAAATTCGGAGAGTTGAATCGGAGTTTGAGAACGGAGCTATATACAGAATATGTTTTGATAAAACTAGATGGTTCTGAGGCAAATACCTATTCTTTTTGATTTCAAAATACATTTTTATATATATTTTTAATTTTTTTAATTTATATATATATATAATTTATGTATATATATATATATATATATATAAAATTTTCAAATAAATGTTTATATATTTTTTAACAGGTTTCTGGAATAAAAAAATATATATAACATTTTCAAATAAATTTTTATTTATGTTTTAAGCATTTTCATTTATTAAAAAAAAATTTTATATATTCTTTAAAAAGATTTCTTTATTAAAAAAATATATATATAATATATACATCACTTTCCTTGGAATTCCCCAAAACCTAAACAAGTATAAAACCCCATTAATCATTTTATAAATTATTTATGTAAAAATAATCATATAGAAAAGGGAGTCATTTTGGCAAAACAATTTCTCAGAAACTAATAAATCAGCAAACAGTTTTACAGTTATGCTTTGAAAATAGGCAATATTTTCCTTGTTTTTCTTTTTTATTTTCCGCACGAATCTAGTTTTATCTACTTGATTCCGCGCTGAAATTGACGCCAAATTTTTTTCTTTGTATTTTTTATTTTGTATTTTTTCCAGGCCAAACTAATTAAGCCCGTTGAAAGCCGTAATGGAATTTGCCAGCCAATTGAGGCGCCTGCTCAATGGTTACTTCAATGATATATATATTGTATATATACAGACTCTGTTTCCGGTTTTCAATTTAATTTCAATGATTCGAAAATCAAAACCAAAGAGTCTTTGAATAAAAGAGGAATTTATAAGGGAATTAACTATTATTTAGGCAAGGATGAAAGTGAATAGGGGTTTCTGTAGAAGAATATATATAATATATAATATTCTTCTTTGATCTGAAGAAATTTTTTAAAGAAATCTTTAGATATTTAATTGAAAAACTTGTTTTAAAGTATGGAAAATGTACAAAAATCAAGACACTGAAATTGGAAATAAATCTATCAGCGTTTTTAAAATAGTTTAAATCGTTTAAAAATTTTTAGGGATTGCTTAAAGAGCCCCAAGTTTTTTGTTTTTAATTTTTAAAATAGTTTTAATAATTTTTGAAAAGTTTTTAAAATGTTTAGAGCTTGTTTAAGTTGGTTTGTGGGTCGTTCAGAGTTTTTAAAAAGTTTTTTTAAATAGTTTAAATAATTTTTAAATATTAAAAAACCATTCAAAGGCTTGGTTGGAGAGCCTGAAGTTCGTTTTCTATCTATCAGCATTTTTAAATATTTTTTAAAGTGGTTAAATACTCACCAGCTATGGGCGACTTGGGCGACTTCAAGGAGTATTCATCGAGATTCTTGCCACCCAAATCCAATTTGAGAACCTTTTTGGTTAACTGCTGTGTGGCCGCCTCCATGTTGCTGGTCTTTTCGATTTTAATATCCACATTCCTTTGGCTGACAGCACTTTTGGTGGGCACTGCCACGGGCATGCCCGACGAAACCGTAACCGTACCCGTTGTATTGGTCATTGTGTTGGCTTTGAGGGCATCGCTGCCATTGCCTTTGACTGCTGCATCCGTCATGATGCTAGTGTTGGTATTATTATTGTTATTATTATTAATGTTGTTGTTGTCTAGCTCTGGCTGCTCCTCCTCCACCTCTTGGCTAGTCGTTGTGTTCTCCTTGTTATCAGTATGATTGTTATTGGCAACCGTTGGTTGTACCGGTACGTTTTGGTTCCCGATTCCAATTCTGGTGCTGCTGCTCCCGCTGCTGTTGCTGTTTTTTTCAACCTCAACGTCGGCAGCGGCAACAACTACAACCATTGTTCGAGACGGCTAGCTTAGCTAAATTCGCTTTAAAGCTATTTATTTATCTATTTGTTTATATGTTATTAAGTTTTTTTTATGTATTTTTTAATGTATTTTTTTATGTAGTTTTTATGTGTTTTTTATGTAGTTTTTTATATATTTTATTATATATTTCTTTATCTATTTATTTGTTTATTTATTTATCTCTTTATTTGTTTTGTTTTTTTGTTTTTTAGTGCTTCTTTTTAGTTAAATTTCCGCTGACGTGCTCGCGCCTTTCAATGTAGCTTCGTTCTGAGTGTTTTTTCAGCGCTATCGCTACGTTTTGTTCGATTTAATTCGATTCAAAACGATTCCAAATGGTTCTCTCTTTCTATATTCGATTTAATTTGCTGTTCGATTGCTCTCAGATCGAGGCTTGGCTTGGCTCTGGCCTCATCTGCAGGGTAACAATGCTGTTGCTATACAAAGCCACCTGTTGGGCTGTGGTAGAGCAGTCGGTTAAGGTGATTTGTGGCAGGGTGAGCTGCAGAAATCCGCCAAATTCACCTGCTGCTGCTGTTGCTCCTCCTTCTGATGCTCCTACACCTCCTCCTGCTGCTCCTCCTCCTGCTCCTCCTCCTCCTCCTCCTCTTGCTGTCTCCCCAGCAATACTTAGATGACTTAGATTGTCAATAATCTCGTACAGACGCCTTTGATGAGCAGCTGTGGCCACACTGGCCACACTAGCTCTTGTAGAATCCTCTACTCTTGCGGCTGCTTCTGTTGCTGTGGCTAATGTTCCTCCTTGGGCATAGTAATCACACATGCTATCCAAATCCTCCTGCTCTGAAGACTCCTCCAAGTCAGTTTCTGGTTCCTCCCGCTTGACTGATCTTATGTCTACCTTGAAGGCCGGATGACCAGCCTGCTTTTGACTAGCTGCTGCCTTGCCACGCAAACTCTTGAGCAGCCTCACCAGACGCCCGGTTAGCCGGCGATCCACCTCCAAATCCAAACGATGATGTTGCTCCTGCTGCTCCCGCTCCCGCTTGTGTTGCTTCTTCTGCTGACCAATCGTTTGCAAATACTTGAGATCCGCCTGCAAGCCACGCTCGTAATAGCCGCTGGCCAGTTGCAGGTAAGCATAAAAGTCCACCACCTGCCTTTGCTCTTCAACTATTAGCCGTTGTGGGCTTTCTCTTTTGTGTTTATGAATATTATTTAGCTTATAATCGTTTCGTTGGTCGCTGCTTTGGCTTCCTCCTCCCTGGTTGGTGGCCAAAGCCTCATCATCATCATCATCATTATGATTGTTGCTTCTCCAGGTTAAGCGGTGCCGTTGTAGCTGACGCTGGACTAGCTGACGCAGCTGCTCGCAGCTATGGGCGCTTCTTATGCGACGCACTGCGTCGTTGTATATGATGATGGCGTTGTGGGGTGGCTCAACACCACCTGTGCTGCTGCTAGTGGTATCGTTGGATCTGTAATTAGTGGAGGCGGCAATTAGTTAGGGAAAGGCAGAAAAAAACAAAAAGAGAACATCATGGGGCAGAAAATAGAAATGGGAGGCGACGCGACCAAACAAAACATTAATTACAATGGCAAATGCAAACACGTACGACAAACAAGAGAGCAAACAACCAGGCAGGAGGTGGAGGAGGTGAAGGCCCAAAGACTACTACAACCCGTAGAATGTGGCCCGTGGTCCGTAACCCATAACCCGTAACCGGTACCGGGGGTAATATAATTAAAAAAGCCAACCAGCGGCGCTACTCTCTGGCTCCTCAAGGGAAAAACTGGTCGCTGGTCACCATTTTTCCGCCGCTTGTTTGCTGTTCGCTTGTTGCTTTCATTTTCTATATATATCCATTTTTTATATTTTGTATGCTTTAGTAAAAAACGCTTTAGTTTCTTAGATGAAATTGTCTTTTTTCAGTAAATTCAAATTAAGAGGGGAGAAGAGTGGTTTCTCAAGCCCAATCTAAGTTCCAGGTTAAGAGTTAGAGGAGATAGGTAGCCTCTTTATTCCAATAATGAGATAATTCTTAACTTCTAGTTAATTATTTATATTTTTATTATGTTTATAATTCACTCAAAAGCTAGTAGCCTTGCGAAGTAGTCATTTCCGACCCTAGAAATCATGTATATTCTTGATCAGCATCAAAAGCCGAACCAATCTAGACAAGTTTGGGAGAAAACAAAATTTTGAAAATTTTTTTCAACATTTTTTAAGGGGTTTTCATCATTGAAAAACGTAAAAAAAAATTATAAAAAAATTTAATTTCCTAAACAAATAAATTTGGTATGCAGATTTGTTAACCTGGTAAAAAACTAGCATAGAAAAATTTCCCGAATTAAATTTCATGCTTTTTTGACTTAGTTATGATATTTTTAATTTTTGATTTATGCAAAAAAATTATTATTTAAAAAATCCATTTTTAAATTTTCAGAAATTTATTCATAAAAATAAATAAATAAATTTAATCATAAAAAAAATAAATAAATTTATTTATAAAAATAAATAAATCTATTTATTCATATAAAAGTTTGAAAATTTTTCAGCTTTAATATATAAGTTTTATATATTTTAAAATAAAAATTAGCTAATATCTTTTATTAACTATTTTAATATAAATTTGAAATTTTATTTTAAATTTCTAAAACCAGAAATTTATTCATATAAAAGTTTGTATATTCTTCAACTTTAAAAGCTAAATTTTATATATTTTTAAATAAAAAATTTTCTTAAAACTTTTATGAACTAAACAAGTCACAAGATCCTACACCTGTCAGCCAAAAAGAAACTTTTAACTTTTTAGTTTTTCCTTTGGAAAAGTCACAATTAATTGAATTCGATTAAGTTGACAGAGAGACCCACCTGGACATGGCCATTCCCCCCGAAGGGTTGACATTCAGAGCACCTGGATTTATTGCAGGTAAACTGAAACTAAAGCACTGACGTCAGAGTCAGAGAGAGAAAGAGAGAGAGAGAGAGGGAGCGAGAGTAGAGAGTGAAGGCAACAATGTAACTCGAGCTGTTGCTGCTGCTGCCGGGATGCGGCGGAAATTTCATGTCCACTAAGGGAACCCAACCTATATTTATGGCAGCAACTGTCAAAGAGGCCACCCTGCTGACCCACTACACCACTATCTCTCTACCTGGGAAAGTAGTGCCTGTGGGTGGGAAACACATCGCGGAACTGCTGCGCATATTGCGACGCTAATGAGGCGGGCGACACTCGAGATGCCTCAGAAGCGGCTCCTCCAAATAACTGGCGACGCCTCTGACGACGTCGCTGACCTCCCCGGTGACGTTGATGTTGATGATGGTGCTGCTGCTGCTGGTGAAGATGCTGCTGCAGCTTGTAGTCCCTGTAATGATTGGCCACCTCATGGCGATACCGTTCCGGGCGAAAGCACTTGGTGTTATAGATCCGTTTCATGGTCAACCGGGGCATAAACTGGCCACCAGAGCCCAATGAAATGCCCTCGACGATCAGGCCATATCCTGAGTTGGAGGAGGATAATGATGATGGCCAGGATGATGAGCACATTTCAGGGGGGGAAACTTGTGACTTGACAGACAGACAGACAGACAGACAGACAGACAGACAGACAGGACGGGTTAATCCGCTCCTGGCCAACTTGCCCGACGGAGGCAACGAAGCAAACTACACCAAGGCTTGACATTGATGGCTCCTCAGCTCCTCAGCGCCCATTGTTATTGTCATTGGGATGAGAGCGAGCTAGAAAGAGAATTGGTGTGGGGAAAGGGGAATCGGTATGGATTGGGAGGGTGCCTTATGGGAGCCCACCATCGATGGGTGCTTCAAATTATGTACATTTATTGAACAACCGAACAATACAAATTCTGTTGGCAACAACGGTTTTGCGGTTATTTGTTATCACGTCAGGCCGCGATTTGTTGTCGTTTTGTTGTTCGACATTGCAATAGAATGGGGGGGTGGAGAAAGGGGCTTCCTTTAATGCGATTCTGGTTAGGAATCGAAGTGGTTAATACCCTGGGTGGGTAAAGAATTTAAAACAAAACGTAAGCTTAAAACTTTTAAATAAATCAATAAAAATAAATAATTAAGATTTTGTTTCTTAAGAATTTAAAACTTTTATTTGAGGGTCCAAAAGTATGCTTTAAAATATATTTTCAGAATAGCTATGAAAGCTTAACATGAGCAAAAAACAAATTTTCCATATTTTGAGTAAATATTTTATTTTTGAAAATTTAAAAACATTTATTTTAGAGCCTTAAGGTATGCAATAAAATATATATAAAGTCCCTGGTTGGTTTGAAAAATTTAAGACCAATAAACCTTTTATTTCCGAAGCCTTAAAACCATTTTAAGTACCAAGACATTGTTAGAAAAATAGAATATCCAAAAAATAAATTAATTACAATTATAATAATTAAAATAATTAAGTTAAATTTAATTATAATAATTAAAATTAATAATAAAATATATCAGTGCCAAAAAAAAAATGTAAAAATGTAATATTTCTTTAAAAATCTTCAGGAAAAATGAAATTTTAAATGTTCTTAGAAAAAGATTTTATTTTTAACAATTTTTAAGAATTTTTCTTCTAGGACCTAAATATAATATTTTGAGTATCAGAACCCATTTAAAATACCTAAAGTGCAGTTTATCAAACTACTTTATCCCACTTAAGGTATTAGGAACTAAATAGAAAGGATTCCCAGCTCATCCTCCTCCACCACCCGCTTGCACGAAAACCCACTACCAACACCACCCGCACCCAACCAATCAAAGCCGCTTAGCCTAAATGGGTGTGGGTGTGGGTGCTCTTTCTCTCAATAGAAAAAATTAGTAGTATTCATGTCGTTAACCATTGTAACTGGTACATCTTTTGTGCAAGCCCCTCACCCCAAAAAAAAAAACCTTCCAATTCGGTCCAATTTGCATATTTCGACTCACGATAAACAACGATAAAATACGACACAAACAATGTCGAGCAAACGTTAGTATAAAAATAATTGTGGGATAGGTCTTTTGGTATCTCCTCGCCACTTTTAGGGTACCCATATACCAGGGTCTATAGACGTCGACACCCCGCCATCGACCGACCACGCCCCGTAATTACAATTTTGATAGATGTACCTACACACATATTGATGGAGCTGTATTTTTTTTTTTTTTTTTCTCTCTCAAGTATGGGCAAAAAATTGACGGGTTGACATAAGCAAATATAAGTACATTTATATGGTGGGGGATATAAAGATATATACCCTGGTGTGTATATATAAGGGAGTATTCATTTTTTTTATAATAAATATATTATAATATTTTTATATATATTTTTCTATATATTATATTATTTATTTTAAGGTAGTATAAAATTTAGGGAAATATTTAGTAGATGACTGAATTAGTTTATTAATTTTTGGAGAGATATTTTACTATACTGGATAATTTTTAATAATTAATTTCATGCATTTTTAGAGATATATTTTTATATTGGAGCATTTTTAATATCTAATTTAATTCATTTTTGGAGAGGTATAATAGTATACTGGCTAATTTTTAAAAATTTTATTTAATTAATTTTATTAATTTTTGGAGAGATATATTATTAAACGGGAGAATTTTTAATACTTAATTTTGTGAATTTTTGGAAAGATATATTATTATACTGGAGAATTTTTATAAGTTAATTCAATTAATTATTGGAGAGATATATTACTTTAATGGATGATTTTTAATACATTTTTAACTAAACAAATCCTTTAAAATTCTTAGAAAAAATAAAAACTAGCTTATATAAAATTAAAGAAAGCTTCTAACACATAAAACCTCTCCTACTATATCTCAAAAAAATCCCCTAAGCTAACTCTAAACCTAAAGCTAAATCCAATATTAATATTACATTTCTATCAGGCACTTACCATCACAGAAATATAAATATAAATAGAAATATAAATAGAAAACAGAAATATATATAGAAAATAGAAATAGAAAGTTCCTAGAAGGTCAAGCTACGAAGGGATCTTGATTCAAATTCAATTTGGGTCAGTGCTTCCATTAAAGTATTTCAATTCGTAGCCATCGGCATCGATAATGCAGCCAAAACAGACTGAAATATTGAAAGACTGAACGATTGAACGATTGAATGATTAATTTCAATTTTTGATTACACGCCATCATGCAATCCGCAATAGAGGAATGCTGATAAAGGGAAAATTGGGAAAGGGGGAAAACCGATTTGAGTGAAATTAATGCGTCTGTAAAACCCAAAGCCTACATATATACATATATACATATATTTATATATATTTGTGTGTGTGTTTGTGCTTGTGCATGTATTTGTTTGGGACGCCTTGTTTGCGGCGATTTGCCATCAATCAATCAATCAACAGCTGAATCAACAGAGAACGCCACCGCTGCTCATTTTATTGGAATAAATGAAGGGACCAACGAGAAAATCCTTAACCCACAACAAGAAACACCACAAGGGGTTTTCAAAATGTGATATATGTATACATATTTAACAAAACTGAAGGCTGAAAGTTACCCTGTCTTGGTTTTTTTTTTTTAGTCTGCAACTTCTTTTCTAGTGTTTTTTCCTTTAAATTTTATTCAACTCGATTTTATTGGCTTTGCTTAAATTAAATAACTTTAATCCCGCAACTGAAGCCACAAAAAACTTGCCTTATATTTCCGGAAGCCATAGAAAAATACACAAATTTATGAAAAATAGGGCCTTGGCTTGGGGAGTATTAAATATTTTCTAATAAATATTAAATACAAATTTTCTTATAAGTAATAATTAAGGTATACTGGCTATAAGAACTTGAATTTATCAAGAAAAGGCACTATAAACATGTTGCTAGCCAATTTTGTTGAATGCAACATGTTTCTAGTGCCAACTTTGTGGATAGCAACATGTTTCTAATGTCTTTTTGCTACCTAGCTCTGTTGATAGCAACATGTTGCTGAGACATATGAAAATTATGGAAGCTAAATGGAGTTATGAGAGTTACAAGGTCTAAATACTACCAAGTTTTCCATGCAAATTGTACTAAAAATATAAAAAAAAAACAGCAGAGGTTATTTTTTTAATATACATTTATTTTCTATGGTTATTTTTTATTATAGCCTGATGTATTCTAGGTATATTCACAGTGAATTTAGTTGCTAAAATTATGTTATAGCATACTTTTGATACACTTTTAAATTAATTTAATTGTAAGATACAATTTATAAATGTTTAGCAACAAATACAAATTGTAAACTAATGTATTTGCAACTAGTAACAAGAATAATGATTATTTCCAAAAGGACTGCTGCAAGTGACGTCGTCAATTAACCTTTTAAGTGATCTGCCCGCGGAAATGGGTTAATTTTCCCCCCCTAAGTTTTCCCACCGACTAATCCGCCATGCAAGTGTGCGTGTGTGTGTGTGTGTGTGTGGGAAAGTTCGCGATACAAATAATTGGCGTGTGTTTATTTGCGGAGAAAACAGAAAGAAACTAGCATAAAATTCAACTTCGGGTAGCCGAAGCTTATATACCCTTGCACTTTGTCAATTTTAAAAATCTTTAACTCAGCCAAAAAAAAATTTTAAATTTAATAATATGTTAACACTTTTCCTGCAAAACATGACTAGATCGATTCCATTTTTCATTTTGATCAAGAATATATGTATTTATATAGTCGAAAATGACTCCTTCACCGTGTTACTGAATATTATAATTCTCCGCAAAGTTATAAAAAGGAAGGAAATGGATGTCCGGAGACAGGGCGACAGGGGTAGAGGCGCCAGCGAAAGGCGGCGAAGAAGGGAAATAAAGAAGGAAGGCGAAATACAGGTGAGCGCCGCGCTGCGCTCGAATGTAGGCAATGCCAAAGCAACGAACCAAAGAGGACGACGCGAGAGCCAAGCAGCAACAGAGATAGATAGAGAGAGAGAGAGAGAGAGCGTGAGGAGGCAGAGGGAGCTCGGAGAAAGAGAGTGCGGAAAGGCACTTAAATACGAGTTTTAAACCATGCACAATTAGAAATGAATGTGCGAAAGGGATACACACTCGCACACAATCAGGCAAAAAGGTTTCTGCTCCACTTTGACACACAAAAGCCAACGGCAAGAGGCGTCTGTCTGTGTGACACACTTACAGTGCCTTATCACACACACGCAGCGAAAGGAGAGAGTGGGAGAGAGGCGCACGTACGCTTTTTCACTTGTCGTCTTGTCGGTCAATAAACCGTCAGCAGATCAACAACAAAGCAGGCAGATAAAGAAAGGGGAGAGGGGGGGGCTTCTTCTAGAGGCGGCAACAGGAAGCAGAACTTGCTGCATTGCATTTGCCATTGAATAATTAATGCCAGGCAAAGAAGCAATGAGAGATACAAAATAAAGCGTATTGATTGCTTACCCCGCAGAAATGGCCAAGTGTACCGCTATGTGGCTACAACAGCTGGTCGTCGTTGTTCCAGCTCCTGATGGTGTTTGTGTTGCTCTCTTGGAGTTCCCATGCGTGTGTGTGTGTGTGTGTGTTTGTATGTGTATGGAAGCAACTCCGCTTTGCACTTGTCTTTCACTTTCGCTTGGCGGCCGTGTTTATTACCGCTAATAACACCTGCCCTGCACTTGCTTCTTGGCAAACCGCTCGGCTCATCAAGTCTTAATTTTGAATGTTTTTTTCCGTTCTGTTTCTCGGCTGTTTAAATGCCTTTTGATTGTTTTCGTTTGATTCTTGGCTGTCGTTATGTTCGGTGTGGCCGCCTTTAACTAAAACAAGGGATTTTCAAGAATGCACTATTGCCATAGCGCGTTAAAAATACCAAAACATACTTTCTACTGCTCATACTTTCATTGCCTCGTTGCAGTATTTGGTATTTTGTTATTGTTGAACTGCAGCCACACTAGAGAGCAAATTGAAGCCGCATTGCAAAAAATATAATTATTTATTAATTATTTAAGCGGCCCCGCAGCGTGGGTCATAAATCGACACAGTCGACTGAGTAGGAGCAACCGTTCAACAGCGGGCTCCACAGGCAAAAGAAGAGCACGTGGGCAGGCGTCGAGTGGAGCAGCAGCAGCAGCGGCCCGAAAAACGCCGGCAAAACAAGAAAATGACGTCGGCAAAGGATTTAATCAAAATTGACATAGTAAGTTAATTGATTTTGTTTTCGTTAATACGTTTGCCACTTACATTGACCGATCCATATAGGAATGGGGCATGGAGCGCTTAGTGCGGGCCCAACAGGTTGTGGAGCTGCGACCCTACGACATCGAATCGTGGTCTGTGATGCTCCGCGAGGCCCAGACACGTCCCATCCACGAGGTGCGCAGCCTGTACGAGTCCCTGGTGAATGTCTTCCCCACCACGGCCCGCTACTGGAAGCTTTACATTGAGATGGAGATGCGCAGCCGTTACTATGAGCGTGTGGAGAAGCTCTTCCAGCGTTGCCTGGTCAAGATCTTGAACATTGATCTGTGGAAGCTTTATCTCACCTACGTGAAGGACACCAAATCGGGTTTAAGCACGCACAAGTGAGTTGGAAAAGTTTCCCTGCTTCAAAAAGCAGATTTTCATTTATTTTTCTTAATTTTTTCCAGGGAAAAGATGGCCCAGGCCTATGACTTTGCTCTGGAGAAGATTGGCATGGATCTGCATTCGTTTAGCATTTGGCAGGACTATATCTACTTTCTTCGCGGCGTGGAAGCCGTTGGCAATTATGCAGAGAACCAAAAGATCACCGCCGTTCGTCGGGTTTATCAAAAGGCCGTGGTAACACCCATTGTGGGCATCGAGCAGCTATGGAAAGACTATATTGCCTTTGAGCAGAACATTAATCCCATCATATCCGAAAAGATGAGTCTAGAGCGATCCAAGTGAGTTGAGATATTAATAAATTCCCTTAAAATAGCTCTCTACTTTTTTATTTTCCTCTTGCAGGGACTACATGAATGCCCGCCGTGTGGCCAAAGAGCTGGAGTATCACACAAAGGGTCTTAATCGCAATTTGCCAGCGGTGCCGCCCACTTTAACCCGTGAGGAGATCAAACAAGTGGAGCTATGGAAACGTTTTATTACCTACGAAAAATCCAATCCTTTGCGTACCGAAGATACGGCTTTGGTCACACGCCGCGTTATGTTTGCCACGGAGCAGTGCCTGCTGGTTTTAACCCATCATCCGGCCGTTTGGCATCAGGCCTCACAGTTTCTGGACACAAGTGCTCGCGTACTCACCGAGAAAGGCGTGCGTGTTAAACCTACAAATAGAAAAACGTTCATGTTTACGTTTAAAAAACAAATAATAGAGTGGATTTTTGGCCTTTGCCCCGCCGGCTGTGGCGGAGGTCAAGATCAAAAAACGAAATCAAAATACCCCGAGTCTCTCTGTTCGCTGAGAAGTGTCGCCTCTAGGGTAAGGGGGCACGCAGCGAAGGAGGAGAGAGAAATCACTGCTTGCCCCATTGCCCTTGCCTTAGGCCGCACGCGTTTTACTCTTATTTTTATCACAATTTTAAAACTATTTGCTAAATTCTAATATTTTTTATAATATTTTCTAATTTATAGGATGTCCAAGCAGCCAAGATTTTTGCTGATGAATGCGCCAATATCTTGGAACGCTCCATCAACGGTGTCCTCAATCGCAATGCCCTGCTGTATTTTGCCTATGCTGACTTTGAGGAGGGTCGCCTCAAGTACGAGAAGGTTCACACCATGTACAACAAGCTGCTTCAGCTGCCAGATATTGATCCGACTTTGGTAAGCTCCTATGAATACTACCTCAATTGCTCTTTGGTTATCTGAAAAAACCTTAAAAATTAAGCTTAAAACCCTTTGAAACCTGTTTTTTTATACTGGATTCTTTTCTCCCTTCTAATTCCCAGGTCTATGTTCAGTATATGAAGTTTGCTCGCCGTGCCGAGGGCATCAAATCCGCTCGTGGCATCTTCAAGAAGGCCCGCGAGGATGTACGTTCCCGTTACCACATCTTTGTGGCCGCCGCCCTCATGGAGTACTATTGTTCAAAGGACAAGGAGATTGCGTTCCGTATTTTTGAGCTGGGCCTGAAACGCTTTGGCGGCAGTCCCGAGTATGTCATGTGCTATATTGATTATCTGTCGCATCTGAACGAGGACAATAACACACGGGTGCTGTTTGAGCGTGTGCTAAGCTCCGGCGGCTTGTCGCCGCACAAAAGCGTGGAGGTATGGAACCGTTTTCTTGAGTTTGAGTCCAACATAGGCGATCTTTCCAGCATTGTGAAGGTAGAGCGTCGTCGCAGTGCCATCTTTGAGAATGTGAGTTTACTGAAAAAAACAAAATCAGGGACCTGAAAAGGAAACTAAAAGAGGTTTTCACAGCTCAAAGAGTACGAGGGCAAGGAGACTGCCCAGCTGGTGGATCGCTACAAGTTCCTTGATCTCTATCCCTGCACTAGCACTGAACTCAAGTCCATAGGCTATGCTGAGGTGGGTTTTTGGTACCTTTTATATTTTGATTATGTTACTAATACCTTTCTTTCTCTCCCCCAGAATGTGGGCATTATCTTGAACAAGGTGGGCGGCGGCGTCCATAATCAAAATAATGGAGAGGCCGAAGCGGATAGCGAGGCTGCCCCACCTTTGCCGCGTCCTGATTTCTCCCAAATGATTCCCTATAAGCCGCGTCCCTGCGCTCATCCTGGCGCCCATCCTTTGGCCGGTGGTGTCTTCCCCCAGCCGCCAGCGTTGGCTGCCCTCTGTGGCATTCTGCCGCCGCCCAACTCCTTCCGTGGACCCTTTGTCAGCGTGGAGCTGCTCTTCGATATCTTTATGCGTCTCAATCTGCCGGAATGTAAGTGTCTAGCTGTTAAACCTTTATTCAGAAGTGAAGTTTAAACTCTTTTGGTGATCTGCAGCTGCCCCACAACCGAATGGCGATAATGATCTGACACCGAAGATCTTTGATCTGGCCAAGTCCGTGCATTGGATTGTGGACACCAGCACGTATACGGGGGTGCAGCACAGTGTGACGGCTGTACCGCCGCGACGACGACGTCTCCTGCCCGGTGGCGATGATAGTGATGATGATCTGCAGACCTCGGTGCCGCCCACACATGATATTTACCGGCTGCGGCAGCTGAAGCGCTTTGCCAAGTCCAATTGAGCTTGATTTCAAATTATTTCCTCTTTTTTTCTCTATTTTTTGTTGTTTTTTACATGCATTTATAACAAAAGAAAAAAATACAAGGAAAATAAGACAGAGTTTTTATGTTTCTCTTTTGAGGGAACACTGCTCAACAAATTTATAAATACTCAATTTTTTAAAATTAATTTCGTTAATTTTCAGTGTAGTTTGTTTTTTTTAGGGTTTTCCTAAAAAAGAAAGAAAGCAACAATTTAAATTCAATTTATTTTATTAATTTCTTTCGTTTTTTTCAGTGTAGTTTGTAAATAAAGTCAAATATTTTAATTTAAAAAAAATAAGTAAAATATTTTAAATAAAACTAAATAAATTAAAATTTTTATTTTATTAATTTCGTTAGTTTCCAGTGTAAATACAAGTCAAATATTTGTTTAAAAATAATTGATTTTCTCTAAAACTATGCATATTTGTTGTAAATATCGTGCGTTTGCATTGCAATAATCTCCCAAATAATAATAAAATTAATAATAACAAGATTTTAACTAAAAAATATATATCTTAAGCTACACCATTAAAAAATAAGCAATAATTTTATATTTTGCATAAGTGCAGTGGTCTCTCTAATAAGCATACAATTACATTATTCCAAAAATATTTGCAGAGGCATATTTTCTTTAAACAATTAATAACGATTTGTTTAATAACGATTTGTTTAAACAACAGGGATCTTCAACAGTATTTAATTGTTTACAGTTCTCGAGTGAACACTGTATGTTGCAGTGAATGCTCTCCCTCTCTCTCTCTCTCTCCCTCTCTCTTTCTAACTCATGTTGCTTTGAGAGCGGCTGAAGAGAGATCAACCAAATAGATGTGACCATTTACCATTTACAAATATACATACATACGCACATGGTTACATCGTGTTCTATCTCTTTCTAGCACATGTACATATTTCTAACAAAAGAAAACAAAAAGAAAAATGGCTGCCGCGATTTTCGCAAGTTGCTGCAAGTTTGCAAGTTAACTACTAACAATAATTGTGAGTATTTCAAGATAGTTTAAACAATAATTAACTAATTAATTAATAGAAAATACATTAGAGAAGGATGAACCGATTCCTGCTACTCCTCGATTACCTCCGCCGGCAGACAGCGTCGCCGGTGCTTGTAAAGGCCAGCGTATTGGGCAAATCGCTTGCCACAGCCGGAGCACGCGTACCGCTTCTCGCTGCGATGGAGATTAAGGTGGGCATAGTAGGCACTGCCCACCACAAAGGCCCGGGAGCAATACGGACACACCTTGTCCCGGATATTGAGATGGGCCCGCAAATGGCGATCCCTCTCGTGAGCCGTATAAAACGCCTTGTCGCATCGATTGCATGGAAAGTCACGTTGATTCCTGTGCCGCTTGACATGCTGATTCAACTTGCTGGCATTCACAAAGCCCCGGGCACAGTGCTCACACACATAGGGCAGCTCCTTGGTATGACTGCGCTGATGGACGCGCAGGGCCGTCGAGCTGAAGAACTTCTTGGGACAATCGCTGCAGGCATGGCTGCGCTGGCCCAGATGACGCCGCAAATGGGAGAGAAGACTGTTGCGCAGCGAGAACTTCAAACCGCAAATATGGCAGACATTGGCCAGTTCTAAACCTGGCTGCTGCTGCTGTTGCAACAACTCCTGCTCCTCCTTAGATCCCTTGGCCTTGCGACGTCTCAGGTAGCGAAACTCCCCATCCAGGGACTTTTCCACATCGGCATGGACATTCCTTTCGTGCTGCAAGTAATCCGTGCGCCGTTTGAATGAAGCCGGACATCTGGGACACTGGAAGGGGGCCACATGCAGTTCCAGAAAGCGTAGCGGCTCATAGTACTCATAGCTGGGCGTCCAGGACTCGGATTTCTTTAGTGCCTCCATGCGGGCCTCCTTGCAGTGACGATATTGGCACCGGAACTCAATTAGGCGACTCTTCAGCCGCTCCACAGTGACCTGCAGGTTGCTCTCCTCCTGCAATCGAGTGCACAGGGACTCGAGCTGCCGTTGCCTCTGGCGGCGTTTTGTGTAATCAGGATGATCGGTGCACCAGAGCTGCGGATAACTCTGGTAAACGGATATGATCTTTAGGTTGCTATCCCGCTGGTTCAGGCTCTTTTGCATTTCGCTGCTCACGGGCAGGACGTCGTCGAGGAAGGCAAACTCCAGGTAAAAGCTCCACTTGCTGCTCTTATCCTTTAATTTCTTTTCCTCCTCTGAAGGTTCCTGCAGCTCCTGAGGCTGCTTCTTCTCCTCCTGAGGTTGCTTCTCCCCCTGAGGTTGCTTCTTCTCCTGAGGTTGCTCCTCCTCCTGAGGTTGCTTCTCCTCCTGAGGCTGCTCCTCCTCCTGAGGTTGCTTCTTCTCCTGAGGTTGCTTCTCCTCCTGAGGTTGCTTCTCCTCCATTCTCCTTTGCCTCTCCTTGCGATAGTACTTTGTGTAGTCCGTCATCTTGCGGTGAAGCATCTGCCAACTGTACTTTTGTCCCGCCTTGGAGTTCAGTTCCTGGGTAATGGCCTGCCAGGCCAGGCGACGCTGCTTCCGGGCATGATAGTCCAAATGATTAGGATCCCACAGGCAGACATGCTGGCGGTATAGTTCAATTAGATCCTGGGTATCTTGGAGACTCAAGCGAAGACGCGAACTACCGCCGGGTGAGGAGGAGGTCTCACCCTCGAGAATGGAATTCTCTTCGTTGGAATTCAATTGAAGATCGCAGGGATCTTCCAGCTGGGCAGCAGCACAGGCCTCGGCCAAGCTGGGCAATTGTGGACCATTAACAGAATCCTCTTTTTCTTTGGGGTTTTGGGGTTCTTCCTTCTTGGACTCCTCTTTCTCGACTGGATTGGCAGCCTCTTTTTCCACGTCCTTCAAGACCTCCGTTAAGACTTTATCAAGCTGGTTTTTCAATTGATTCTTTTGATGATTCTCATCTATGTTTTTTTTAGCTTTTTCGTTCTGCTCCACGCTCACCGCCCGCCTCACCTCACAGCTATTCTGGACATGAGCCTGGTGACTTGTTAGATTCTCAAAGATCTTGCCGCATACGGCACACACATACGGATCGATGTGCTTGTGAAGAAACTCCATCTCAGCGTAGTGTTCAAATCCCGAGACGAATTCTGCCTGCTTGCCCTCGACTACACTGTGCAGATAACTGATCTTCTCCAGGCGATAGCGCTTGCGCAGCGACTGTAGGCGCCGTTGGATGACCACCGGCGATAGGCTTATGCCAGACAGCTGCAGGGCAAGCTGGAGTCCAAGATGGGCCTCGTGACGCTGACGCACAGTTTCCGGACACCGGATACGCTTGTGGGCATTGTGCCAGAGGATGGGATAATGCTCGTACAGCTGCAGCAGTCGCCGATTCTCGCGGGCATAGTGACGCTGGCGCTTCAACAGCGATTGCTGTTCGCACAGAAAGCTCAACTGATCGAAATGCACGAATTTGGCGGCATCATCCAGTTCGCCGTCCGCCTCCAGCCGTTCCCGCTGCTTGAGGAAACGCTGACAGAGCGTGGATACGCGTATGCGGACATCTGTCACGCTGAAACTGCGTCCACAGTAGCCGCTCCAGGCTTCGGTGATGCGACGCCAGGATTCACGGCAAAGCTCCATGTCATGGAACTCGGGATGTGTCTGATTCCAAAGACGCGGCTCCGAGCGGTACAAATCAATCAGGCGATGGATATGCTGGGTGGTCAGGCGTTGGCCCTCGGGAACTGGCGATGCATCCTGGTTAAAGAAGGATTTCAGGGAGTCTGGAAATAGGTGAAGCACAAGGTGTATCCTTACCACACTTACCTGAAGGCCAACAGCTGGCGGCAGGGGAATGGTTACCGATGACGACACTACCGATTCTCCCGTTTCTTCTGCCGCTTGTCCACATTTTCCAGCCGCTTCCTCAACATCATCTGCCACTCTGACTTCCTCCTCCGGCTCGGCGACTTCATTCATTTCCTCCACAACCTCGTGACCTGCTTCTTCCACCTGCTGCTGGTCCTCCTCGATGGCATTCAGTTGCCAAACCAGAAGCTGCTTCAGTTCATTGTCCTCGCCACTGGTCCGTTGCTCGGCCAGCACCTCCTGCATTAGCTCATCCTCGGGCATGGTTACCCCATCGGAGGAGGTGACCGTATCCGGATCCTGCCAGTCGGAGTGCCAGACGTCCATGTGCTCTGGGAACTCGGAGAGGGCGCATAGTGGCCGCTCCTCGCACAGGGAGCACTCGATGGCATAGAGCTCGCCGGCACAATTCCAGGTGTAAACGCTGCCGCACAGCTGCCGCATCTTGGGGCTTTCAACGAACTGTGGGTGAGATGTACAAATATATAATTTCTTTAATTTTCTATATATTTTTTTAATTTCTAAATTAAAATAAAATTTTTTTAATTAATTTAATTAATAATTTAATTAATTAAAAAAAAATTTTTTCTCATTAAAAAATTTTTTTTATTATATTTTTTAAAATTATTTATATATATATATATATATTTTTTTATTATTATTTCTTAAATTACACCATTTATTTATTGATTTTTTTTAATTGTTTGATATTTCACTTTATATTTATTATAATATTTAATTTAAAATTAACGTCAATTTTTAACTGAACGTAAAGAAAGTGTCGTTTAATATTTTGTATACCAAAAATTTATTTTTCCAAGAACCAGATATTGTATATTGTATCTTTGTATCTTAGAGATACAATACAAATATATAGTTTAAATTTAATAAATTAAAATTTTTAAATTTAATAAAAAATAAAACAAAATATAAAAACCAAAAAACGAAATTCAAATTAATTATATTAAAATTAAAAAAAAATAAAATAAATAAATACAATAAAACAAAATAAAATAAAATATAATAAAAATAAATAACATAAAAAAAAAATAATAAAAAATAAAATAAAACGAAATAAAATAAAATAAATAAAAAAAATAATAATTAAATAAAAAATAAAATAAAAATTAATTAAATCAAATTAAACAATATAAAATAAAATAAAATAAAATAAATAAAATACAAATTTTACTTTTAAATATTTTTTTAAAGCACATTAATTTGTTTTCTTTATTAAAAAACCTTTTAAATAATTTTTATTTATTCAAAAATAACTAATTTTAAATTAAAATACTACTTATAAGTGCAATTTGAAGTAAATTAAAAAAAAATAATAACTAAAATTTAAATTTAAAACAAATAGTAGATACTTTGTTTAAAAATATTGAATTTAAAATTTAAATTTTAAGCTTAAACCCAGAAAAAATCTCTTAAAATCAAACTTAACTAACTTTTGTTGGTCAAATTATAATTTTTAGTTACAAGAAAGGTTTAGTGACGTAAAAATATCTCAACAACAACAAATGACATTTAACAACAAAAACAAAAAGGGGTTTAAATTAATTTCTATTCTGTGTTTTCTAAGCATTCTGATTTTTTTTTTAAAGTATGCATTGGAATATTTCCAGTTTGTGGTAGCTAGAACTGCAGCATACACAGATACACATACATACATAGATACATATAAATTTGGAGAAGCATTTTTGTCTATTCTTATTCTCACCTGTGGGTCACCTGTGTGCTGCTGGTGGCCCTCGTTGTTCTTTCTATAATTGTTATTCTTGTTGTTTTTCTTGTTGTCGTGGGTGGTTTCACTTTTTAAGCCGCGCGACAAGCGCAAAAAGATAAAATAACAAAAACAGCAAAACAACAACAACAATAAATTAGCGTAGCAAAAAGGTAAGGTAAGCAACCTAACGGGGCAACGGAACGCGCCAGGTGTAATCCCCGAGCGACTGAAGGCAGTAACTGCGACTGCGGCTGCGCGGCGTCTTGTCTTTTTCTTTTCTCTTTGCCTCTTGGTTGGCGCTGGCGAGTGAGTTGAGTTGAATTGCGCGAGTTGAATTGACTTTGAGTTGGGAGGTTCGTTCAGGTGAAAATGAAAATGCCAGGCGCAGCAGCAGCAGCCGAAGGAAAAGACGAAGACGAAGACGTAGAAGCGAAGCAAAGAGTAGGGGGCATTAAACTGGCTGAAACCCGGCTCATAAAAAGAGTAACAACAATGGCATTCACACATAGATACAGACACTAACACCTGGATCTCCCTCATCCCGTTTTAGCCCACTCTTCGTTCCTCTGGATCCACCATCTCTATTGCTCGCTGACCGTTGTCTTTGCAACTATCTCTGTCTGGCCTGCGCTTAGGGTGCCCCAGTCTCTGCTCTCTGCTCTCTGCTTTTCTCCACTGTAGGTGTGTGTTTGTAGGTGTGCGTGCATGGTGACCAACAGGTAACACAGGGGCGTAGCCATGGGGCCAAAGAGGGTTTATTATTTAGTTAATATATATTATAATATAAATAAGCTGTATACAATTATAAGTAGTATTAGGGGGACTTTCTATACGCCCCCTATATTAATTTGTTTTCGCTACGCCCATGATAGTTCTTTTTTTCTTTCAGTTTTGAGACAATTATAAGCAGCCAACAAATAATAACAAAAATCTAGCACCTATTTTTTTGTTTAATTTTTTTCATGTCTATTTTTGCCTAGTCATGTGGAAACGATATTTGCACAGAAATCAGCTACTTCACACGCTAGCTGAGCTTGAGCCGCGCTTCCAAAGAATGGGGCTAAGCCCTCTGTATAGGCACAATTCAATTATATTTGCCCACCAAGCCTCATCAATCATTTCGGCACCGCTGTCTTGATTAACTCGTTAATGAGGTAAAAAAAAAATAAATATAAATAAAAAACAGCTCCTGGGTAAAAAATGTTTGCATTACTTTTTTTTTTGTATGTGTGGTGAAAATAGTTGAAATACCAGCTTAGCTAAAGATTTGTTTTAAATTTCCTCTAACAAAATTTCTCCAGGTACAGGAAGTAACGGATTTGTCATGGGCGTAGTCAAAATAATAAGACTAATGTTTAAATGGAGAAAATATTTATAAAATATTTAATTTAAGACTTTTAAAAATTTTAAGCTCTTAAAATCTTAATTAATAATTAATAAAATAAGTAAATAGATTTTTTAATTTTACTTTTTTTTATTAAGTATCTTTTAATATTTATATTTAGAAAAAAAAACTATTAAAAATTGTAAGCTCTTGAAATCTTAATAAATAATTAATAAAAAAAAAGTAAAAACCTTTTTTTTTTATTTTACCAAAATTTTAAAATCCATTTTTCAAAAAAGCTGTACAACTGCTATGGTTGGTGGTAAACGTGTAGATAATCTAATTTTCAGAGCACCATTTTTTAAATTTAATTAATTAATTTAAACATTTATTTTTATATTTTATTTGTAATTTAAATTTTTATAAAAGTCACAAATAACTTATTTTACATTAAAGTTTTAAAAATCAAAAGAATTGTTAATTTTTGTCTTAAAAATAAATTAAAATATATAAATAAAGGTTTAACGGTTTATATTATATATATATCGATGTTGCAAAAATATCGATAGTCACCAAAAAAGAATATATCGTGGCTTAACCACCTCTAGAGCTTACCGGCTAACCGGCAGAAGGTCACACTGCCAAAATTGGCCAATTCTCCTATTTTTGCAATCTAAAAGCTAAAATCTGGGACACATAATAAATCCGGCGTCAGCGACCCAACACCCGCTACCCCCCCTAGTGAGACGAGACCCATCCCAGCCAGGCGCAGTGGCCAATCCATAGCCAAGACAGCAGAGCAGCCGCAGCAACCCGCCGCAGAGATGGGGCTGCCCTCCATCTCGACAATGCTGGGCGTGGCATTCCTGGCCTACATCCTGCACTCCATCTACCAGATGTCGCAGCTCTTCACGACGCTGCAGTGCAGCAATCTGCCCTGCTATACCTCCTTTCTAGCCGATCGACCGCGCCTCCAATTGGCTCTGTTCTCCTCCCTCAGCCGCAATCCCATTGCCTCCGAGGTGCGGGATCTGTACAAGGCGGAGCGTTTTGATTACCACGAGAATTTTGCCCATGACTTTGAGTTGGAAATCCCATTGAAAACGCGACGCAATGGCTCGCTGTACTTCCATGTGGTGTTGGCCTTGGAGGGAGAGCCTTTGGAGTGGCGCAGCCTGCGACGCGATGGTCCCACTGTGGTGCATACGCTCAGCTTGACGGATTACATGGTGCCCAAGGCGGAGGCCTTCAATCTGTTGGGGGAATCATCATCAGCCACCAATGAGAAATCAAAGGAGACAAAGGGAAAAACTGGTGTTCCTGTTAAGAGTGGTCGTCCCAGCACTCATATACGCTCCAATGTGTATGTGACCCTGCTCACAGATCTCTTTTCCGTTTCACAAGAGGATGTCCCACCGGAATTGGCGCCCCTTATACGTGTCAATCGTATGCAACAGATACTGCCGATCCTGCAAACGGACACATTTAATACACGGCTCAAGGATCTGGTGCCCGTGACCCGCAATACCACCGAGTTTACGTTCAGTTTTCATTACAAACCCATTGGCGTGGGGAAGCTCCGGTTGATGCTGCTTATGGAGCATGCCACGCAGGCACTGCTCACCATTGGCTTTGCCACCAAGGATATTGATGAGGTCAAGGGTGTGTTTTCGGATACCAATGTCTATCTGCTGTGCGGCACCATCTTTGTGTCGAGTATCCATGTGAGTGGGCAGGTGATTTGGAGTCTTAAAAAGTTACTTATACTCTCCTCTTCCTAGATGCTCTTTGACTTCCTAAGCTTCAAGAACGATGTGGCCTTTTGGCGCAAGAAAAGCTCTTATGAGGGCCTGTCCAGCCGCACCACCATGTGGCGTGCCTTCTCCCAGATTGTCATCTTTCTGTATTTGCTGGACGAGCACACCTCATATCTGGTTTTGGTGCCCGTGGGCCTGGGCACTCTCATCGAGCTGTGGAAATGCAAGAAGATTATGCGTTTCAGTTTTAGCGGTTTGATTGGACGACGGCTGGAGGAGGTGGATCGCCGGAATGGCAAGGAGCCAGAGTTTTCTACATCCACGTTGGCGGAGCAGCAAACGAATCACTTTGATCGACAGGGCATGCGGTATCTCAGCTATTTGCTGTATCCTTTGTGCCTGGGCGGAGCTGTTTACTCGCTAATCTATCAGCCGCATCGCTCGTGGTACTCCTGGACAGTCAATTCGCTGGTCAATGGTGTCTATGCCTTTGGCTTTCTGTTTATGCTGCCGCAGTTGTTTGTCAATTACAAGCTCAAGTCGGTGGCCGCATTGCCTTGGCGTGCGTTTATGTACAAGGCTTTTAATACATTTATTGATGACTTTTTTGCCTTCATCATCACCATGCCCACGGCCCACCGGGTGGCCTGTCTAAGGGATGACATAGTGTTTATTATTTATCTGTATCAGCGCTGGCTGTATCCGGTGGATAAGAGTCGCCTGGACACGGGCATGCACATTGAGGAGACTACGCAGGAGACTTCAGCAACGGCGGCGGCGACTCGCAAGAAGCGAAATTAGTCTGAAAAAGAGGCACAAGATTGCTTGCTCACATTCCATTCCGTCTTAAGGCACCCGAAGGATGCCCTCAGTCATTCCACTTTTTGAAAATAAATGTTTTTGTATGCTTTTTTTAAGCCTAAAGATCTCGGAGTTTGAAGAGAGGCCAAAAGGAAAATGCAGCCAAAAAGTGAAAAACTATTTTTAAAGTAAAAAAAATAAATGATACTCCTCTGGAAAAGTTAACAAACAATAATAAGTAGCCAGGTTTTATGTAAAAACCATAAAAAAAATCAGGTTAATCGAAGGGTTTTCCTACTTCAACGGGTATAAAATTTATATATTTTAATTTGTTTATTCATTTTTTGAGAGTAAATTAATTTTTTGTGGAGATAATACTTTAATTTGAGTTTTTATATTAATTATCAATTGATTTTAATTTAATTTAAATTAATTAAAATTATAAGAATTAAATTAATTTAATTATTAAAATTAAAATTAATTTAATTAATTTTTAAGTAAATTAAAAAACAACTAAATAATAATTTCCCTCACAAAAAACAGCCACAAATGGTAAAGTTATAGATATTCTATATTTAAATGCCATTTTATTAGCTTAATTTTAGGTCCAATATGGTTTGCTGGGGGGGACACAGGACAGGGGACAGGGGGGACAGAGGACAAAAGACAGAACACAAGGCTCACAAAAGGATAAAAAATTTCAGAAAAAAAAGTAGAGGAAATATTTATATATATAATATAATCTTTTAGTCTTAAACTTAAGGGGCCCAAGGAAAAAAAAGAGTTTGCCGTGCGCAAGGATTTACGGATCTTGGATTTACTGCTCCTCCAACCACCGCCTTAGCCATTGCGTATGCCCAAGGCCTGCTCCAGTTCCGCTCGCTTCTGATTGACCTTGGTGAAGAAGTAGCGCGAAACGGCCTCGTGCGTCCAGGGCTGATAGTAGAACTCGGCACGTCGCTCCTCCTCCGGATTGCCCACCACATCCGTCATGAGCTAGAAAAGAAAAAAAAACCCCCAATTAAAACAAGAAACTCTCAAAAAACCCAGTAATAGTTTAGTTACCTTCAAATCCCTCGTCTGACTGATGATCCATCGGTGTATAAACATCTGCGGATCCTTGGCAAAGCTCAGGAAGAACTCCCTATTCGTCTTCATCTGATTAATGGTATCCACCGTCTCATGGATCTTGGTATCCAATCCCTGGATCTCCTGCTGGCTGGCCGTACTCATCAGGAAGCTATTCATTTGATTCTTAAGCGTATCATCCACCTCAACATCGATGTCATAGCAGGCTGTCTGCTTATTCTCCGCCCCGCTCTCAATGAAATGATTAATCACAATCGGATCTGGGGGATGGAGCAATGGATTGAGGCGTTGCGGTATCTCGGCAAACTTCATTCGCTGACAGCTAAAGATCTGCTCCAAATACTTGTCACAATTGATATACTCCCGCTCGTGGGCATCCTGCAGCTTGTGCGTCTTGATGTACTGCCACAAGGCGGAAATGATGACTGGCCGGGTCTGGGTGTGCACACCCAAAAGCCGAGCAAGGCGCGGGTCCAGCTTAAACTGCAACGGCTGGTAGTCAAGCAGCAGGAGAATGGTGCAGCGCACATTACGATCGCCCGGCCGTTTCACCTGAAAACCATCCGTCTCCTGGGTGGTGTGTGTGCGATGCCATTCCACCAGATGATTATCCGGACCATATAGCTCCTTGTCCAGCTCAATGACCAGCGATTTAAAGAATGATGAGAATTTACGCTTGATCTTGGTATTCGGATCACCCTTGCCATCCTCCAGCAGGCGACCCTCAACGCGCAGCTCCCACGAGGCCACGGCACCCTCCTCGCCATCATTGGTCGGCTCTTTGCTGGGATAGAATGTGTTCGAGATGAATATGCGCAGCTTGCGCTTTTGCTTCATGGGTCGCTTCAGTGCCTCCTGTATGTCCAGGCGCTTGCGCATAATCGTCGCATCCAGCTTCCTTTCGAATGTCAACAGATCCATGTAGGCCTGTGATTCTGGTACCAAATCTCGTACTTTTTGCGGCAATATCTTGTCTGCCAGCTTCTTCTTCTTCTTGGCCGCCACAAATTCACCCTTTCCGCCCGGCCCACTGCCCAGGCCGCGTGCCTCATTGGAACGCTTGCTGCCGCCGCCAGATCCTGAGCCACCGCTACCACCTCCGCCGCCGCCGCCACCGACTCCACCGCCACCACCGCCGCCGCCACCGGTGCCACGCAGACCGCTCTGAAAGGCCGGCTGCTGGGCGGCGCGCTGCAAAAGGGAACCAGGTCCGGGACCGCCGGGGAGTACGCCCGGCACGCCGGGTACACCAGCACCAGGCGCTGTGCCTGGCACCGGTTGCGTTGTGTTCGGATGCAAGGGAAAGCCCCTGGGCTGTTTTGGGAGTACAAAAAAGTGTTAAAAGTTAGCTGGGCGGAAAATGCAGAAAAACTCACCGGAAAAGTGGCGCCTGGCGGGGGATAGGGACGCATGCCGGGAGCCGGCGGCGGCGGTTGGTAGCGCGACTGCACCGGCGCTTGGCCAGGTGCAAAGCGTTGCGACATTTTCACTGGCTGTGTGTGGCTGCTGTGTTCCCTGTTCTCGTTGCTGCTGGTGAAAATTGCACACCTTCACTCTTTTTCTTTTGCTTTTCCTTTTTTGTTACAACAACGCGTCACAAGAAAAACACACACACAAAATTCGCCTGTAAAATGGCGTCAAAACAGGGTTGTATCAGCGCATAGAGATGGACCAGTGAGCGATTGCGGCAGTCTGGCAAGGCTGCTGGCTTTTTTGGTATTTTATATGGGGAAATCAAAGTTTAAAAATACCATAACTAATTTAACAATGCCTTAAATTTAATTTGGAATGTTTTTTTGTGCTAGTATTTTTTAGGTTAACAAATCTACATACCAAAATAATTTTTTAGGAATTAAAGTTTTTTATCAGTTTTTTAAACAATTTTTATCAATGTAACCCCTTAAAAATGTTGAAAAATTTTTCAAAAATTTATTTTGACCCAAACATGTCTAGATCAACTCGGCTTTTGATGCTGATCAAGAATATATATGATTTATAGGGTCGGAAATGACTTCTTGACATCTTTACTAGCTTTTGATTAAAATTAAAATACCCTGCCAAGGCTAAACAAAATATAAATAAATAATAATAAGGCTCTGAGCTCTGACTGCTCTGAGACTCGTAATTGTTATCGAAAATGCATTTCGATAGTTTTCAAAAAGCAGGCGGCAAAGTAAAAAATCAACTAAAATAAACACAAAGAAAACAACAGTGATATTTTTAATACTCTGCCAAAAAGATGAAAAGGCCTATGTTTTATTACAAACTGATTTTGTATTTTTCTTTCAACTGTCGAGCGCTAGGACCTTTCCTTTCTTAGGATTTTAAGTCGGCTGTCTGTTTTTTTTTTTTTTTTTTTTTTTTATTATTTAAATGTATTTTGCGGCTACAGCTATTTAGTGGAATCTATACAGCATCGGTTTGTCTTGTAATCTAACCTTTCCCGGACTCTAAATTTTAACTGAAAACTTGAACTTTTCGACTTGAAAACCGATTTTTAGACATCTTTCGAGTTGTAGAATCGCGACGAAAACCGCTGTCCGTCCGTTCGGGCTCTATGGATTTTATGAGAGAGAGAGAGAGAAGTGGGGACAAAAAAATAAAGAGGTGATAAAAGAGATGAGAGAGGCACACCACAGAGAGGTACCTAGTAGAGGCTCTCCGCATTGGAGGAGCGCGGCTTCTTCAGTTTCTCCAAGTTCTTAATGACTGTGTCGTGGAGCGAGGAGTAACGATTGCGCACCTCGCAGACCACAAGCCACAGACTGAGGTACTCCTTCTCGTCCAGCTCGACGACGGCACGACGATAATCATCAATGTGCGGATACTTGGCCACCTTGGACACGACCTTGGCACGCGATAGGAAATATCGCGAGATTTGATCAAAGAAGGCGGCTGCCTCCGACTCTACCGTTTGGATCTCGGCCAGAGTATCCTCCTGAATGGAAACCCCAAAGTTGTTGCCATCCTCGATTTTGGGAATCATAAACGAAATCCACATCTTCAGCAAATTGGCTAAAGAATAACAACAAACGCTTGTGAGATTCTGGAAGGTTTGTAAAGATGCCTGGGGGAATACTTACAATCTTCCACCAGCTTCCGGATGATGGGTTTGACCACCTTGATCATATCGCACAGCGGCTTGTTGCACGGCACCGTGCCCGTGGGCAGTGCCAGCACCGGCACACCGGTAATTAGGACATCGTTGCGGGCACGCTTTGTCGGCGGATGATCACCATCCTCGGCGGCGGACTCTTGCTTCACTAGAACTGGCGGCAGGGCCGGGATATTGAGGTCCTGGTGCACCTCATCGAAGTTACGCTCGTTGAACATTGGCGTGGCCAGCAGTTCGTTCAGCGAGACGATCTTCTCCGGGAAGCGCTTGGTTATCAGCAGCTCCGCCTTTTGGATCAGGGTGTTCTTGTACTCCTGCACCTTAATTACCGTGTCGTTGGGCATCTTGATGTCTTTTTTCTTATGTTTTTTTTTCACGTATAATTAATCTTTAGGCGGCGGTTTATTTCTATTTCCGCTGGAAGTCTCGCTTCGGTTTTGAACCCCGGTCCCTGGACGCTGTATGTGCCTGGTCTCCCTGCTCTGTGTGCTTGCTTCACTTCGACCAGCGACGGTGATCTGCAACGGGAGATGGAGATGGCGGTCAGGTGGCGTCGGTGACGATGGATTGCGAAATTGGAGGCAACAAAAAACACACAACTCACCGACTAATTTTGTACAGATGCCTGATATTATGCGGCAGCGTGGTCGGTAATGTGGAAGTAGTGCGTTTTACAAAATGCCCTAAAAAACGGCATACCCACGTAGAAACCAAAAATCGAAGAATTTAAGCAGGCGGCGAAATTTGTGTCAGGGGAATTACATATCTTTTTAATTTGATTTTGATTAACTAAAAGTTTTCCACTTTGTTTATTTAATTTAATTTAGCTCCGTATTTTTCTTTAAATTTTTATTATTACCACTTTCTGGTATATTTACACTATATTTTAGTATATATCGAACTGGCCTTCCTCCATTTGGTATATTTTAGGTATTTCCCATGAAAAAGTTGCAAGTTCATGTTGGTATATTTAATCGGTCAGTTTGCTGCCACACTGCATCCGTCTCGCACAGTTGGACATTTTTCGTGTATAAAATCAAGCAAAAATACGAATTAAGACGAAACCGTGTTTATCTTTGGCATGCAAGCGGCTCTAGCCCCGGCGTTCCGATTTCAAATAACTAGTGCAAGTACCATTATTAAAGTTGCAAAGAGCACAAAACCAACAACTGCGTGCACAGACACATTGTAAAAGAACAAAAAAAGAGTGAAGACAACGCGGTGCCGTTCGTTGTTGGCATGTTACGTGTTTTTTCGGCATTTCTAGCTTCCTTTTCGCTTCCTTTCTCCTTTATTTTGTTGTTGCCGCCTTAATTTTTGTTCCTGTGACCGCTGTGATTGCAACGCAACAAATACAACAACAAAAGGCTGAACGCAGGACGATACCGCGTGCACGGAGGCGAGGCAACAACACACACACGCGGACAAAACTCACAACTACAATCGCATTGCAGTCCGCCCTCCGCCGCACCGCGCGCCCATCACAAATCGTGTTGAAATTTATTGCGGAGTATTTTTCGCTGCATTTGCTGACTGGCTGGCCGCCCATCGGTTTGCTTCCTTTCGCACACACCGCCGCGCTTCAGCTCCACGGTCCCAAAAGCGAGCAATAAGAGCGAACAGCAGAAGAAGCAGTAGAAACTGTAAAAAAAAACAGCAAAGACGTTGGCGAAGAGGAGTTGGAGTTAAAAAACAAACAAAAGAACGGACAGAAGAAGCCCTCGGAGAAAAAAAAAAGTGGGAAAACGCGTGTGCCTAGTGCGGTTGCACATTTTTTTTTCGTGCTTGACAACAACATTAATAGTGGCAGCAGACGTCAAACAGCAAAGACGACGAAACAACAGTTAACTGAAGCAATTGAAGAAACATCACAATGGTAAGTTTTTGTTTGAAACACAGCCTGCTGTTAAGTTGGTTTATTTTGTTTGCTGGCTGATTTTGTTGTTGCCCCTGCATGACTTAATATAATTTCTTTGTTGCTAAAAATCTTGCCATTTTCCGCTCACACATGCCGCGGGGACACGCACGCATTCGAAACACACATAGGCACAAACAAAAACAAAGCGCTTGCAGAAGCGGAAGAAGAAGTAGAAGGAGAGGAGAAAGATGCAACGGCATCAACAGCAGTGACCGCCACTCATTCAAGAATTCTTTCTATTTGCTTGCTTCTTACTTTACTTCTCTTCTTTCTTTACTCTTCTATTTCCACTCCCCCTTCTATTTCCCCATTGAGCTTAATATTCACTGCAATCGCATTTTCGCGTGGCCTGGAACTCTCAAACCATGTGTTTTTTCTTCTCTTCTCTCTTCCGCTGCTGCTATCCCTCTCTCGCGCACACACATTGAGATTTAATTTTTTTTTTGTGTTCTCCGCACACGAGTTGGGCGAAAAAGTTGCGCTAGGTTAGGGTTAAGGCCATGCGACTCGGTTTTTTTGAGGGACAACATGTGTGTTAAGGTGCGTTGGGTGCCGCTGTGCATATTTTATGGACAAATGTTAGGTTTTTATTTTTAACCGTTAAGCTAATGTTGCTAAGTTAAAAAAAAACAATTATAACAGATTTATTACGGTGGACATTGGCAAAAACAAAAAATATATATTTAGGGGATTCACAAGCTTATCGTTTTTAAAAAGGAATTCCCCGAAATTAAATTAAATCATTGTATATTATAAGCTTGCAGGGTATCAACTGTCAAAACTGTCAACTGTCAAACAAAACAATTTACCTTATTAAATTTTAATTTCAATATGTTGAAATTTTAATCTAACAAATTATCATTAAAATTTATTATTAAAATTAAATAATTTTGTTTAAGAAAAAACGAATTAAAATATAATATAATAATTTATAATAGCTTTTATTGATTAACTCTATTTTTTTTTTAATTTCTTGGCATTTCTTCATTTTCAATCCAGAAAACTTGTTGCTTTATCGGTGACTGATACCACAGAGTGACACGCCCCTTTAAGCACGGGCAATAACCCCCAAGAAAAACTTGTGATTTTTTATCTGTAAAGAATCCCTGCCTTGGGAGTCTCCACTGTACATTTGTACCTGCTGCAGCTGCAATTGCAACTGCAGTGACTGCTGCTGCTGCACTTGGTCGCCCCTCCCACAAACTGCGCTGCCTACCCAAAGCCGCTGCAGTTTTGGGCCTCTGATTGGGTTGGGGGTGTGAGAACCTCAGTACTTCCCTCCTTGTTTTCGGAACGTGGCTATTTATCATCGCTTCCGCTTTGGTAGCTGCATTCGGAGTTTGGACTGGCGCCTGCGCTGTGGTTTGTGTCTTCGGTCAGGTCAGCTCCAAATCGCCGTCTCCTGCTAGCTTCCTCTCTCCCTCCCTCCTTCTCTCTCGCTGTCCTGTATCTTTCTATCCCTTTCGTTGTCATAGATGACGTTTCACATGTCCCTTTCTGTCCCATTTCGTTACAGTTATTTTTTCCCCCATTTTATTGTTCACTTTTCAGCATTTTCTTTGTTTCTTTTTTTCGTGCGCCTTTATCAACAGTTTTTGTTTTTATTTCTATATTCGCCAACCCTTTTGTCATACATTTTTTTCTTTACACATATTTTGGTTTATTTTTTTGAAGGCAACAACATGTTGATGTTGCTCTTGCTCCCTGCGTGTGTCTGTGTGGGGGCGGAAAACATATGTTTTCGGACAAGAGACTGTTAGCATTTCCTTTATTGCAAGGTCATTCGTTTTGATTTTATTTTGTGTGTCAACACAAAAATGTTGCAAATCTATAAATAGGCAGGGGAGAGATGAAGAATAAAGGAGAAGAAGGGGTTTTGGGAGAACTGCACATTTGCTGCATGTGTGTTATTTTTTAAGGACGATTATTGTGCTTGAGTTTTAAGAGCTTAGATAGCTCAATTTCAGAAGGATATATGAAATATACAAGAAAGAATAGATTTAGGGATGTAGAATATTATTCTTGATCTGCATCAGTAGGCGAGTCTTTCTAGCCCTGTCGGGAAGAAAAGGAAAATAATATTTTTTTTTTTTACTTTTATAATGGAGTCCATCATTAAAATTCTCATTAAAAAAAAAAATTTATATTTAGTATTTAAATGTATTAATATTATAAAAACAAACTCAGAACAGTTTTCCGAATTGAAATTAATGCCTTTTTGCGTTAGTTATGAACGATTTCTCCCCCCCTGACTTTATTGAAAGGGTATACAAATTTCGTCTTACCGAAGCTCTCCCTTCATAGTTTTTTATTTATTACTAATTTATTTGCAATAAATTCAAGAAAATTAAACTACATCTTGGCTATCCTGATATATTATTGGAATTGTCAGAATGTTTCCCCATCAATTGTGTTCACTGTATCTGCAACATGCACTTGGCTCACCGCGTGGTTGTGTTTGCTCTGGATTTCGGTGCCCCCACCTCGAGTTTCTCGCCATACAGAAGTATACAGAGAGGTATAAGGTATATTATATGTGAACGCATATAGCCAGCGAACGACGAGAGCCAACCAGACCCGTCGCCAGGTCCCTCGTCCCAAACAGGACCACCCCCAAGGACATTCCCCCAGCAGTCGCAGCAGCAGTCTGTCTTGCTCTAATTGCTGTGCATGCGCTACAGTTTGCTGCTTCTCCAACATGGTACACCCAACAATGCCTCCTTCTCCTCCTCTAGTAACCCTTTTGTTTAAATAGGGTGAGGAGAAGAAAGGATCATGGAGCAAAGGGGGGTTACAGTGAGAGGAAATAGAGGTGGGCACACATGCATATTCCATTCTCATAAAGGAGGAAACTTGGTATCTCTGCATGCCAAACATTTTGTTGTTGTTGTTGTTCTTAAGTGGGTGGCATGAGGGGTGGTGTATAAAATAATGGGCGGGGGGGTGCGAAACAACATACCAACCCCTTTTTGTTGTCGGCTTAAAGTGGAGCACAGTGGCCCCGGACACACACACACACACACACAGGGCACAGTGGCCTCTCATATAAGAAAGATTTCACTTGGTTTAGTCTTTGATTTCGTTATTTAAATTAAACATATAAAAAAATAACAGGTAGTTATTAAAAACATATTCTTAAAATGACACAAAAAATATGCAAAATATCTACCACTTTTGTCAAATGCTTGTACATTGCAGGCAATTTGTCAAAATGAAACCAAACCAAGCAAAAGCTTGTAGTAAAATTTAAGTAAATTCAAATTTAGTACAGTGGGTTTTATTTTTTATTTGATTTCAATATTTAAAATTTTAATTTATAATTGGAACTAAGGATATAACCACTGTGCCCACTTGCTTTTTTGCAAAGGGGTGAAAAGGGGGTGGCGAGGCCTCTCGCGTTTGTTTATCGTCCTGTTCCCAGTTCTCTGTTCTTGCTTGACTGTCGTCGTCGTCCTGACCGTCGTCTCACACGCACACTCTGGCCTGGCCCCGAAGAGATGTTGGCCAAAAACCCACCCCATTCGGACCTCGGCTTAACCCCCGGGAGTAGCAGCGGCACCCCGTTTAACCCGCTCCCCGAATAACTGCAACCCAACCTGAGACTGGGCTGGGATATATTCGCTGGATGATGGGCTGTGTGTGAATGTTAAATTTTCATTTTGGGGGTTCCAAAGTAGTATAGCCCGGTGGCCCGTCCGTGGCCTGACTCTAGTTAGCGATGTAGTTGGCTCCCACACGAGCATCGAAACAGTCGCAAAACTCCCGTGCTTTTGCCAGTTAGTGTCCATATCTATACATATATAGAGATCTCAACAGCCAGGACACATCCCAGAGCCGGAGCATACCAGAACCTCATCGCTACGGCGACGAGCAGCATCTGACCGCTGGTCTCGCCAAGACTTTTCTCGAGCTCTGTGAGTGAGTTGCTTGCTTTTCTTTCTTTTTTTTTTTTTTTTGGTGCCTGTGCTTGAACCTTTCTCCTATTTTTTCACGCGGCGTGCGCATTTTTTTCCTCGTGCTTTTTGTGCCGTTTTTTCTAAACATAGCTCTCTCCCGCTTGCTCCTTCTGTGCTGTAACGCTGAAAAGTGTGCTACAAAAATGGATAATTTTTTCGCTCTTTTCTATGACATTTGCTCCGGCTTTGTTTTTGTTTCCTTTTAGCCAAAGAGAGAGTAGTGTGTGTGTGTGTTTTGGGTGATTCCCCTCTTTGAATTTCTTGCAGTGTGTGTGTGTTTTTTTCCCTTTAAAAAGGAGTTCAATCTGACAAAAACTATGAAACTATGAAAATATCGATTTTATGTTCGCGTTGTCGAGGGTTCCCGGTGCACTGGAAATAATTTGGTGTCATTAATTTTGAGTTATTGTAAAAAAAAAAATTTAATTAATTACTAAATTGTTTTATTTTAAGCACATAAATAATGTTTAATTTATTTATATTTATTATTTATTTTATTTTATTTGTTATATTATTTATATTATTATAATCTACTTATAGTTTATATTTTTAAATTCCTAAGAAATAGTTTAATTCAGAACGCTTTTCCATCGTTTTTCCTTAATAATTAAAAGCTTTTAAAAACTAATGCTTAATATATATTATATACCACTTAAAACTCTAAATAAAAATGTTTTATTTTCGTTTTTTTTTAGACATCAAAAAAGCGCAAAACCCCCTTTGACGACGACGACGATATTGATGAGGACGATTCAGGCTCTGATTTTGATGATGACGAGGATCCAGATCTAATAGAAGTGCCCGGTAAGTCCTCCTCCCTCCTAGTATATGATACGTATTTTACATTCCACTTTTGATGCCTTAAATCCTTAGGCTTTGGGCTGGCGAAGGATTTTCGCCTGCAATGAAAATGCTGAAAAGTGAGTTCATTTCGAAGGGATTTGGGCGGAGGCAGCCAGTTCTCCTATTGTTTAGACAACAATTTTATAGGCACCCTTGGGTTGGAAGTCGATGTATAGATGTGGTAGCATGGAGAGCATAGGAGAACGGGGGCTGTAGGAGAAGCCTTCTGCCCGACCACTGAGAACTTTATGGTATAGTTTTTTGGTGGGAGGAGATGGCGGAGGAGATCCTTTTGTTTAAAAAGGGGATTGGGGGAAAAGGTATAGAGTTCGGCCAGCCAGCCAGTAGTAACTTGTATTCAGAGTTGACATTTCAATCCGTGGGGTAAGAGAGAGAAGGTAAAGGTAAAGTTTTAGAGTGTACATTTCCTACCAATTATTGAGGGAGTTTTTATGTAAACCCAAGAAAAGTTTGTAAATAGGGCTTGGAAGAATTTAAAGATAATATTTGGAAGTCTCTAGAATATTTTAATGAATACTTTAGAAAGTAAATCTATTTAATATAAGCAAAATACAAATGAAAATCTAAAAGGATAATTAGGGATGTATAACGTTCGGAATGAAAATACGTTTAAATGTAGATTTCCCTGCAAATATCAATACATTAATTATATATGAATCTTTTTTTGCCATCTCTAAAAATAATAAGATGCGTAACGTCTATTTATTTTAATTGCCAAATGTAAGTAAGTATGGCGTTATGCATCTTATTATAATGTCTCTGCTAATTGAACTATTCAATATTCTGGAGTTTCAAGTGTCATAATCAGTTTCCTTATTCCAATCTCAAGCCCTTTGAGCCCTCAAATTGATTTGTTATCCTTGAGCAACATTAATTAAAATGCCTTTAGCATTTAGTCGCTAAAATATTTATGAAATTACCCCTCTCTAAAGTCTCTCCAAGGATAAGATGTCATGTTTGCTTCAGATCTGCTAGGTATCGATGGTATATAGGCAAGCCATGTGTGGACCCACACCTATTATCCATTATGGTGCGTCACGCATATACTATCAGAACACATAACCATGATTATTTAGTCGTATATATATGTTTATATATGTATATATAGGAGGAGCTAAGCTGAGCTGACCGTGCGTCATTATTCGTGGACATCCATATCCTTTGAATAATTAAAACCGATTAGTTTCGACCATTTCCTCCATGTTCTGTCAACACAATCGAAGGCCAATGGCTATGAGGTCCTTGAAAAAAAGTGGCTCTAATATTCTCAATTATTTAGAAAGCAATACCAAGTCAGATTACGGACTAAAAGTGAGTGTTAAGAACACGAGTGTGCCTCCTGACAGGTGAAGTCTATAAAGAATGAAACTGAAACTAAATAATGCAGGCAACTTGGCAATGAAATATCCAAAAGCTTACTTAAGAAATATGTATTGTTTGGGGCTCTATGTATCATATATGGTTAGATTCATCCTGGACATTTGTGGTTGCCACTAGCGGGATTTGCATTTGCTTTTGCCTGTGGTAGTCATCATAGTTAACCGCGACGCCAGCAGGGAATTACAGGCCAGGCATCGTAATGACATTACGATATCCCCCATGTGCCAATCATATACATATAGGTATATATACTATGTATATAGAGAGGGAGTGAAGAGGACAAGTACATTGCTGCTTGCAGCATATACTTATAATAATTATGATTATGTCTCAGTCACAGACCGACCGACCCTTTCCCTCCACCCAAGCCGTCATATCTCAACAAGTACATGGAGAGATGGCCAAAGCATATACTTAGGGGCACATATGTACCATCTATCTTTGCTCATTAATTAGATATTTACCTTAAATGAGGGTGCTGGCTTGGCGGCTGGTGGTGGTGCTCCTTGTGCTCTCCTGATTATGTCTGTAATTTGTGCAGCGGAAATGGCAATCTCAGAAAGGCCTTCGATTCGTACATATGTGGCAGGGTGGGGGGGGAGGCATTAATGTGTGTCCGAATTTCATTTAAATATTCACAAGATGCCAATCGAGAAATCACGTGCTCTGCAGAGATTCTTAATCAAATTGAAGGCAACAATAATAACAATAAATCAACCCTTTTTTAATACTATTTTAGCTTTTGATTATTGCTTTTGTGTGAATTGCATTCCTTTCTTTTATTACTATTTTCATGGTCAAAGGTTTAACAAAGGTATTCTGTTTTATATGCAAATTAACTAAAACATTCTTTCCTTTCTTACATTATTATTACTATTTTATCATATTAATTTGGGCTGACCAAACTTAATCACTATATTTTATTTGAATTGAGTGCTTATTTTAGTGAAATTTTTTAATGTGTTCATTCAATTTACTCAATCATTTTCCATTTTCTTTGTTCATTCCGTATTCATTTATTTATTTTTTTCATGGGAATTTAGTTCATTTTGTTAACTTGGTTCCTAATTATTTACTTGTTTATTTCTTTGTTCAGTTAAATATTTTGTTTATTTGTCTAGTCAGTTGTTTATTTATTCTCTCAGTTAATTAATTTATTAATTTGTTCATTTGTTCAATTAGCAGTACATTTTATTAAATATTCATTTTACAAAAATAAATAAAACAAAAAAAAAAAAAAGATAAAAATAATATCCCAAAAATAAAATAATTACCCTCTCTTTATATATTATTTATTTCAGGTGGCGGTCGCGATCTAAACACTGCTGTTACCTACGCCCAAAACATACGCAGCGGAGTGGGCGTGACCAAGGGCCAAGCACCTACCCCTCCTACAGCTGCGTCTGGCTTACCCACAATAACCAACAATTCCACCGTTGCCCCGAAAATTGTTATATCCCAGAATAATATTAAACCGATATCGCTGTTACGCATCAACAATAATAACAACAACATCATCAGTGGCAGCAGCAGCAACGGTAATAAGATAATAACAACAATAACAGGCGGAGGAGCGGCAACGCTGGTAAAGGGAACGCCAGGAGTGGTGGGTACAGGAGCGGTAACAGGAGGCGTAACCACAGCGGCGACAGCGAAAATAGGAGGCGTGACTTTGGGCGGAAAGATCACACCGATACCGACGGTAATAGCCCGGAAAGTGGGAGGAGGAGGACTAGAGAATAGCCTAAACAATATGCCAAAGAAACTGAATAATGCGATAACGGGTGAGTGTGTTAAAAATAATAATAATAATAATATATACATAAGTAATAAATAAATCAATAAAACAATTGATATAAACAAAAACACGAACACGAACAATAGGAGAGCCTGAGCCAAGATCAATTAATTAATGCCACTCTTCCCTTTTATATTTATCTCTTTCTCTCTCGGTTTATCTTGCTCTTCAACCCAAAAAACCCCCTTTTTTCGTTTTACCAATTTTTTGATTTTGTTGTTGTTGTTTTTCTTTGTGGATTTTTGTTGTCGTTTTGCTTTGTTTTTGCTTTGCTTTTGTAATTTCCCCCCTGGCCACTAGCCATGGGCAGTCCCGCCGCAAGGAGCAGCAGCAGCAGCAACAGCAGCAGCAGCAGCGGCTTTGGGTCAGGTGGTGGATCCAATACCACCAGCAATTACCTGAACAGCCTGAGCACCAACGAACTGATGAATTTGGCCGCCTATGTGGCTGCCAAGGGCAGCAGTTCACCATTACCCCCGCCACCGTCTACAGCCGCCAATTCTGTGCGGAATTCACCTGGCGCTGGCGGTGCCTTCTTTGACGGCATAAGAGGAGGAGGAGGAGGAGCGACCACATCAGCCTCTGCTGCTAATTTTAATATGGCCGCGTCTTTATTGGCGCAGAGTAAGTCGATTAATGTTGGTAACCAACCAAGAAGAATGCCGATTTATCTCGTTTTTTAAACTCCTTGACTAAGCCCCAAAAAATCATTAAAAAAATGTTGTATAGGATTTTGTTTGGTTATTAGTAACCAAATTGAATTAAAAACTACTGAACTTGTCTGGAAAGTAAAGTAGAATGTAGAAAATTTCGGTAAGAGTGTGTTTTATGAGTCAGGATGCTTGGAAATAATAGAAATAGTTTTAAATATTTCTTAAAATCAAGAGTCAGAAAGGATTTATGAAATATGGTACATGAAACCTAAAATTCCAGGAGGGAAAGAGTACAATCTATTAAAAAATCCTTTGTTGTTGTTTTTTTCCCCTTAGTTTCCCCAAGCTTTCGCCAACAGTTTCCAACATTTTTGTCCTTTCTTGCCGGCTTTGTAATATTAGAGTAAATCTCTATAAATCGATCCCTGATTCATAAGAATGTTTATTAGTTTCCCCAGTTGCTTGGTTTGTTCTTCATTATTTTATCCCAAGCAAAACCCCATAAGTTGATTCTGGCTTTTTGTGGAAAATATTTTGTTCTATCCTTCACAGGATATCGATAGCGTTGGTAGTTTTTAGTATTTTGTACACTAGAGCTGGAAATAAATCAATTTTCAGTTAATCGATTTTTTTTTTTCTAAAAAAATTCTAAAAATAAATCAATTTTTGGTGAATATTTTTTTCTAAAAAAAAATTTTTTTTTAATTAATCGATTAAAATTAAAAATTGAAATAATTAAAATTAGAATTATAAAATATCTATCGATTAAAAGCGAAAATTTAAATAATTAAAATTAGAATTATAAAATATCTATCGATATTTGTATTTAAATAAAATTACCTTGATTATTTTAGCCACATGCAAAATACCACAAGTTTCCGATTTATAAAATTATATATAAAATATAAATTTATTTATTAATAAAATATAAATTTATTTATTAATTTATTAATAAAATATAAATTTATTTATTAATTTATTAATAAAATATAAATTAAAATTATACATAATTTATAATTAATGTTAGAACTTTTTCGATTTAATCATTTTTAAAAATTTCCATCAGCAAAATTTTTTTCCTACAAAAAAGTTTGGAAAATGTTTAAAAGTTTATCTAAATTTCCTCCTGATAGTTACAAATCTATTAGATTCTTGCTAAGCTCGTCGAAATCCCTCGAAAAATCTGAAAATTTTCAGTGAAAACCTTGATTTTCCTATTTTTTTTATATATATATAAATATAATTAATTAATTAATGTTTATATTAATATATTAATTAATTAATAAAACCTTTCTTCTGGAAATCCTCCCAAAACTAAGCTCTCTCCTGCTTCTCCTTAACTATAGCTGTCTCCCTCGTTCCCCTGACCACTATCCCTCGTTTCTCTGTTGCCATCTCTTTCCTTTACGAGGCTCTTGTGCTTGACTTCAGATGTATTTCCCTCTCACTCACCCTGGTGTCGTCGTCGTTGTCGTGTTTAATTTTTAAAGCCACATCATTTTTGGTCATCATTCGCCCTTACCTATCTGCTTGCAGTGAGCTATGGAGGTGGCGTAGGTGCCATACGGCCATACAAGGTGACCGCAGGAGCACCAGGAACCGCCATTGTTGGCAACACCGCCAACAAGCAGCAGCAGCCAACAGCAGCTGGAGGAGGAGGAGCATCACCAGCTGGTGGCATGAAGGGCAACGTCACCATGATGGAGGCCGTGCGCAAGCTGATCGCCTTGAATCCCCAATACCTGACAAGCGGCATACCAAATGATGCAATCCAGCTTTTCTTGCAAACGACGAACCAAAGGGCACAGACGACGCCAACGATGTCGCAGATGCCGGTGACGGCCAGTGCCGCGGCAGCAGCAGCAGCGGCAGCGGCAGCCCATGCCTCAGCCGTCGCCTTTGGCCAGCAGGAGGAGGACGAGGTGGACTACGAGGAGATGGGAGTGGCTGAAACCTATGCCGATTATTGGCCAGCCAAATGTAAGTGAATTTTCTATATAAATATTCCGGAATTTCCAAATTAAAGGTGATTCTCCGTTAATCCCAGTGCGCCTGGGCAAAAAGCATCCCGATGCCGTGGTGGAGACCGCCTCCCTTAGCTCCGTGGAGCCCTGTGATGTCTATTATCGTCTGGATATACCACAGGAGACGATCAATAGCGGGCAGCTTAGCGCTTTGCAATTGGAATCCATAACGTATGCCTCCCAGGCCCATGATCATCTCCTGCCCGACGGCAGTCGTGCGGGTTTCCTAATTGGAGATGGTGCTGGTGTGGGCAAGGGACGCACTATTGCCGGCATCATCTATGAGAATTTCCTGAAGGGCAGAAAGAAGGCTTTGTGGATATCCGTGTCTAATGATCTCAAATACGATGCTGAGCGCGATCTGGCCGATATAGGAGCCACGCGGATCTCTGTCCATGCGTTAAACAAGTTCAAATACGCCAAGATCAGTTCGCAGGTGAACAACAATTGCAAGCGCGGCGTCATCTTTAGCACTTACTCGGCGCTGATTGGTGAATCGAACAACAAGACGGGCAAGTATCGTTCACGCTTTCGCCAGCTGTTGCAGTGGTGCGGCGAGGATTTTGAGGGTTTGATCATCTTTGATGAGTGTCACAAGGCCAAGAATCTGTGCCCAGTGGGTTCCGGGAAGCCCACCAAGACAGGTCAAACTGTGTTGGAGCTGCAACAGAAGCTGCCCAAGGCTAGGGTGGTGTATGCCTCTGCCACGGGTGCCTCGGAGCCCAAGAATATGGCGTACATGGTGCGTTTGGGTTTGTGGGGACAGGGCACAGCCTTTGGTGGCTTCAATGACTTTATCACAGCTGTGGAGAGACGGTGAGTTAAAGGAATATACCTGCCAAGACCTCACCCTAACACATCTCCTTTTCCAGTGGCGTTGGCGCCATGGAGATTGTGGCCATGGACATGAAACTGCGCGGCATGTATATAGCCCGACAGCTAAGCTTCAAGGGCGTCAGCTTTAGGATCGAGGAAGTGCCTCTCACCAAGGAGTTTCGCAAGATCTATGATCAATCCGTGGAGCTTTGGGTGGAGGCCATGCAAAAGTTCACCGAGGCGGCGGAACTCATTGATGCCGAGAGCCGCATGAAGAAGACCATGTGGGGACAGTTTTGGTCATCGCATCAGCGTTTCTTCAAGTATCTGTGCATTGCCGCCAAGGTCAATCATGCCATTCTGGTGGCCCGCGAGTCCATCAAGTATGGCAAGTGTGTGGTCATTGGTTTGCAGTCGACGGGCGAGGCTCGGACCTTGGATCAATTGGAGCGGGATGATGGCGAGCTAACTGATTTTGTGTCCACAGCCAAGTGAGTGCTTGTTTAACTTGTATATTTTCCTTGTTTATGAACTTGTCTTTGCTTTTCATAGAGGCGTCTTTCAGTCCTTTGTGGAGCGTCACTTTCCAGCACCGGATCGCAATAGAATCAATCGCATTCTGGGCCTCTACGATGACTCCTCCTCGCCGCTGGAGTCGTCTTCCTCCTCCAACAACAACAATAGCTCTGCCATGGCAGGCAGCAAGCGTAAGGGTGTGGGGTCTACCAATGGCAAGGCGGCCAAGAAGCTCAAGAAACGCAGCAGCGGCAGTGATAGCGATGAGGATACAGATACCACTAGCAGAAAGCAAAAGCGTAGAAAGAACAGTGACAGCGACGATGGACACAATAGTGATAATGCTGCCGCCTTTCGCAGCAGCGATGCCGAGGAGGATGACGATGATGAGGAGAATGAAGAGACCGATGAGGATGAGGACGAAGACGAGGATAGTGATGATCATCATGGGGCCGATAGCGATGTGGCCAGCGATGCCAGTTCCGATTTCAATCCCTTCTTCAGTGGCAGCGACAGTGACATTGATCCCTGGGTAAATGCACGTAGCAAAAAGTCCTCCTCCGCCAAAAAGGTAACCAAGAAGAAGACCAAAAAGAAGGTGAAAAAGGAAACCAAAAGCAAGAAGGAGAAGGATACAGAGGCCACCTCCTCTTCAGCCAAGACAAGTACCACCACCACCGATGCCATGTCCGCCGCTGTGGCCGCTGCTTTAAATGCCGCCAAAACTCGAAAATCCCAGCTATCCACGCAGGACAAAATCCAGGATCTTTTGCAAAAGAAGCAAGAGCTCAAGGGCACTGTAACCCCCATTGGGGTAAATGGTGTCAAGATGAACTATGGGCCACCGCCCAAGGATGCCATCGAGCGTGCCTGCACCATGAAGGAGGAACTTTTGCGTAAAATTGAACGTTTAGGCTCTCGCCTCCCACCAAATACGCTCGATCAGTTGATCGATGAGCTGGGTGGCCCCGACAATGTGGCCGAGATGACGGGCCGTCGTGGTCGCGTGGTGCAAAACGATGACGGTTCCATACAGTACGAGTCACGCATTGAATCTGATGTGCCGCTGGAAACGCTAAATATCACGGAAAAGCAACGCTTTATGAATGGCCAAAAGGATGTGGCCATTATTTCAGAGGCAGCCTCCAGTGGTATCTCTCTCCAAAGCGATCGTCGTGTGTTTAATCAGCGGCGTCGCGTGCACATTACGCTGGAGCTGCCCTGGTCAGCCGATCGGGCCATACAGCAGTTTGGACGCACACATCGTTCCAATCAGGTGAGGCATATATACCTAATCCTTGAATCGAAATATATATAATCCTTATTTACCAGGTCAATGCCCCCGAGTACATCTTCCTCATCTCGGACCTGGCCGGCGAGCGACGCTTTGCCTCCACGGTGGCCAAACGTTTGGAATCGCTGGGTGCCCTCACCCATGGCGATCGTCGTGCCACCGAGACCCGTGATCTCTCCCAATTCAACATAGACAACAAATACGGCCGCCAGGCTCTCGAAACAGTGATGCGTACAATAATGGGCTATGAGACGCCTCTGGTGCCACCGCCCACGGATTACAGTGGCGAGTTCTTCAAGGACATTGCCGGGGCCTTGGTGGGCGTGGGCATAATCGTGAATAGCGAGAGTCATCCTGGAGTGCTCAGCCTGGACAAGGACTACAATAACATATCAAAGTTTCTCAATCGCATCCTTGGCTGTCCGGTGGATCTGCAGAATCGTTTGTTTAAATACTTTACCGACACCATGACGGCCATCATACAGCAGGCGAAGCGTGGCGGTCGCTTTGATCTGGGCATAGTTGGTGAGTACTTTAGGGAGAATATAGTTTTTTACTTGAAAAATCAAATTATAAATGCTTTATAGACTTGGGTGCTGCTGGGGAGAATGTTACCCGCGTGCGTCTCATACGATTTGTGCGGAAACATGCCACTGGAGTGGCGCCCACAGAGCTGCATACGGTGCGGGTGGAACGCGGCATGATCTGGCAGGAGGCCATGGATAAGTGAGTGAAAAGGAAGCTGTTCTTGTTACAGTTAATGTTATATTTACTCCTTTATAGATATGCCGATCTCTTTAATGAGAATGAGGGCTTCTATCTCTCCCATCAGTTGCGCAATCAAAAGCGCACTGCCATCATGGTGGTGATCTTGCCCAGCAATTCCACAAATAGTGGTAGCAGCAGCAGCAGCACCACCGGAGATTCTGATAATCTCAAAAAGAAGAAGGCGTCGCGCAGCAAAAAGGAGATCATGTGCCAGATCTACAGACCCAATACGGGGCTTCAAGTGCGTCATGAGTCGCTGTTTGAGCTGGAGAAGAAGTATCGCAAGGTGCAAATGTCGGAGGCGGAGCCACATTGGACAGAGCAGTACGATGCCTCGGTGAATACATGCTCGCATGCATATTGGAATGGCAATTGCCGGAATGTGAGCCTGGGCAATGATTGTGAGGTGAGTTTTTTAGAGGAAAATATTAATTGGAAATTTGGATATCTGTAAATCTTGTACTTATTTTCTAGGTGGGCTTGCGTCAGCGCTTGTACCATGTCCTGGCCGGCTCTGTGCTCTCCGTTTGGGGTCGCGTTGAGCATATACTGAATACACGTTCCAATAGCAAAATGCAGGTGATACGCATGAAGACCACAGACGATGAGAAAATTGTGGGCACTCTGATACCCAAGTCGTGCTTCGAGACGTTAATGAATGATCTGCGCAGCGATTCCGAGAAGCAAGAGGAGTTCAACTACTGAGCGTGTGATTTTTGCTGCTAATTCGTATCCTTCCAGAGAGAGATATATATAAATATATATAAATAATAATTTAACTAGGCTTTAAGTTAGACATACATAGCGTATATATATGTAAATGGACACAGCAAGAAGTGAAGAGCGGATGAGAAAAAGCCACAATAACCTTTGTTTTTCCTTGAAAACACCAAGATATTGTAAACCAGACGAGGAATATCAAGAAAAAGAAAGAAAAACAGCAGAAAAACAAAAAATGTAATGTGAAATGAAAACGCTTATTAAAATGGACTTTTCTCAATGATTTCTCTACGATTAATTCTAGTTACGAGTTATGTTTAAAAACCACTGAATAAACCGCCACCCTTGTAAACTATTTATTACTATTATTACATACATATTACATATACATATTAATAGATATATATACATATATATATTACATATATGTAAATTACCTTTTTTTCTTGTTTTTAAATGTAACTAAACCCAGCAAAGGCATTGCATTTTTTTTCTTTTTTTTTTCTATTTGCAAATGTAATTAGAAATAAATAAATATATATTAATATATATATTTATGTAATAATAATTAAATCTAAGTTAAGCCAAGAGACATTGAGAGGTTGCTCTTAAAAAAAAGGAAAAGGAGAAGGTGTAGAGAGGGAGTGAAATAAGGAAAAAAAGAAGTAAGACGGAGAAGGTAAGCTGTACGTACAATTAATAAATCTAAATGTGCGGATTTAATGAATATTAAATATTGGTTTTATTTGTGTACTATAAATCTAAAGGTATATATTAAAGGTAATATTGAACAATTTAAATTTTTTTATAATTTATAAATCAAGTATTTTTATTTTATTTCAGCAATTGTTATCGATAGCAATAAGCTCAGCTAGCCAAAGTCGATTACTGCGATCATCGCTGTGCCCCCCATCTCTATCAAAAAGAACTCGCATCTCTAGCCGGTTAACCACCGCAAATACAAAAACAAAAAGCAGGAGAAAAAAACGCAAGTGGAAAAAAATGGCCGCGGCTGAGAAAATTCCGGATAAAGGACCACCCAGATGTAAGTTTGCCTGGTTTTATATACTTTTCAAGTCCTTTCAAGGACTCCGCCTCCCAAATCCTTAAACCCTAGTGCGCCTGGGCATTGGCCATCCTGGTACCGTCATGGAGACAGCCGCCCTGAGTTCCATGGATCTCGGTCATGTCTACTACCGCACGGACATACCCAACGATACGATCAAAAGTGGCCAGGTCAGTGCCGTGCAGCTGGAGACCATACAGTGTGCCGCGCAGACCATTGATTACCTGCGGCCGGACGGCACTGGAGCCGGTTTCCTGATCGGCGATGGTGCTGGTGTGGGCAAGGGACGCACCCTGGCCGGCATTGTCTATGAGAATTACCTAAAGGGTCGCCAGAAGGCCTTGTGGCTATCCGCGTACGATGATGTCAAATACGAGATTATGCGTGAACTGGCGGCCATAGGTGCCTCACGGATCTATGTCCGTGCCTTAAACGAGCTGGAATATGGGAAAATCAGCTCGCAGGTGTTCAACAGTACGGGCATCATCTTGTGCTCCTATTCGGAGCTGATCAGTGAATCGAAGACCAACGAGAAGGGCAAGTATCGCACTCGTTTCCGCCAGCTGTTGCAGTGGTGCGGCCAGAACTTTCAGGGTGTGATCATCTTTGATGAGTGTCACAAGGCCAAGGATCTGTTGGGGAATAACTCAAAAGTCTTACAAACTGTGTTGGAGCTGCAAAAGAAGCTGCCCAAGGCCAGGGTGGTCTATGCCTCCGCCCAGGGTGCCTCGGAGCCCCAGAATATGGCGCACATGGTGCGTTTGGGTTTGTGGGGACACGGCACAGACTTTGGTTGCTTCAATGACTTTGTCACAGCTGTGGAGAGACGGTGAGTTGGGGGGAATATATCTGCCAAGACCTCACCCTAATTCTCTTCTTTTCAGTGGCGTTGGCGCCATGGAGATTGTGGCCATGGACATGAAACTGCGCGGCATGTATATAGCCCGACAGCTAAGCTTCAAGGGCGTCAGCTTTAGGATCGAGGTGGTGCATCTAGACCGGATGTTTCGCAAGATCTACAATCTCTCCGTGAAGCTCTGGTTGGAGGCCAGGGAAAAGTTCTCAAAGGCGGCGAAACTCATCGAATTGGATCCTTCCCTCCAGCTGGTCATGTGGAAACAGTTTTGGTCATCGCATCAGCGTTTCTTCAAGTATCTGTGCATTGCCGCCAAAGTAAATCGTGCCATATTGACCGCCCGCGAGGCCATCAAGAATGGCAAGTGTGTGGTCATTGGCCTCCAGTCGACGGGCGAGGAGGAATCGGAGCGGGATGATGATGAAGAGCTTGAGGATTTTATGTCCAACGCCAAGTGAGTGATTTTTACTCTTATATTTTCTTAGTTTTTAAAGTAGTTTATTGCTGGCCTTAGAGGCGTCTTCCAGGACTTGGTGGAGCGTCACTTTCCAGCGCCCAGTCGTCAAGGTCTTAATCGGTTTCGGGGCCTCTACGAAAAGGAGTCCTCGCAGCTTGAGGGTTCCTTGGCAGGAGAGGCAAGCCAGCGGAAGGAGGAGGGCTCTGGTGGGGGTAAGGAAAGAAAGCTGAAGAGGCGCAACGGTAGCGGGGAGGTGGCGGAGACTAGCAGGAAGCGGATGAGGAACACTGAAAGCGAGGAGGTGGTTAATATGAATGATAAAGCAGGCTTTATCCGGGATGCAAAGGAGAAAGAGGAAAAGGCGAAGGTGGATAAGGAGAAAGAGGAAAAGGAAAAGGAGAAGGTGGAAATGGTAAATCAGAATAGGGAGAGAGAGTATGTGGGGACTGAGGATAAGGAGAATGAGAATAAGCTGAATGAGGATAAGAAGAATGAGGATAAGAAGAACGAGGATAAGAAGAATGGGGATACGAAGAATGAGAATAAGAATAAGAAGAACGACGATAAGGAGAATGAAAATAAGAAGAATGAGATTGAAAATAAGAAGAATGAGATTGAAAATAAGAAGAATGAGAATGAAAACAAGAAGAACGAGGATAAGGAGAATGAAAATAAGAAGAACGAGGATAAGGAGAATGAAAATAGGAAGACTGAGAATGAGAATACGAAGAATAAGAATAAGGAGAATGAAAATGAAAATAAGAAGAACGAGGATAAGAAGAATGAAAATAAGAATAACTCGGATAAGAAGACCGACAATAAGGATACCAAAGACAAGAAGACTAAAAAACACAATGCTCACCAGAACACCCAAGATCACAAGGCATCCAGCATCCAGGTGGCCAGGAATGCCACAACCGATTTCTATACCTTCTGCACCACCACCACCAGCGATGTCATGAACGCCGCTCTCTTTGACATCGAGCTTGCCTGCTCCCTCAAGGAGGAGCTCCTGCGTAAAATAGATTATTTGGGCAAACGCCTGCCACCCAACTCCCTCGATCACCTCATCGACGAACTCGGTGGCCCCGAGAATGTGGCCGAGCTGACCAGCCGGCGTGGTCGCATCGTCCAGCATAAAGAGGGTGCCATCAAATACGACTGGCATGTCCCGCTGAAAACCCATAATCTGGATGAGAGGCGCATGTTTATGAATGGCCTCAAGAATGTGGCCATTATCTCGGAGCCGGCCACAAGTGCCTGGAATCTCCACAGCGATCGCAGGGAGCGCAACAAGCGACGTCGTGTGCACATCACACTGGAGCTGCCCTGGTCCACCGATATGGCCATACAGCAGTTGGGACGCACACATCGCTGCAACCAGGTGAGCCTACAAATGGGATTTTTATTTAAGATTTCCTGGTGGTCAATTCTCTCTCGTTTAGGTCTTTACACCCGAGTACATCTTCCTCACAACGGACCTGGCTGGCGAGCAACACTTTGCCTCTGCGTTGGCCAAGCGTTTGCAAACGATGGGTGGCCATTGCGTTCGTCGAACCAAGACGACTCGTGATCTTTCCCAATTCCATATTGACAACAAATACGGTCTCCAGGCTCTGGAAAAGATGATGCTTACGATAATGGGCTATGAGATGCCTCTGGTGCCACCGCCCACGGATTATAGCGGCGAGTTCTTCAAGGATATTGCCGGGGCCTTGGTGGGCGTGGGCATAATCGTGAATAGCGAGAGCCATCCGGGTGTGCTTAGCCTGGACAAGGATTACAATAACATATCAAAGTTTCTCAATCGCATACTCGGTTGTCCTGTGGATCTGCAGAATCGTTTGTTTAAATACTTTACCGACACCATAACGGCCATCATACAGCAGGCGAAGCGTGGCGGTCGCTTTTATCTGGGCATAGTTGGTGAGTTCTTTAAGGAGAATATAGTTTTTTACTTGAAAAATCAAATTATAAATACTTTAAAGACTTGGGTGCTCCGGGCAGGAAAGTAAATCGCTTGCGTCACCTACGCTTTTGGCGTCAACATGCCACTGGAGTGGCGCCCACGGATCTGCATACGGTTCGGGTGGAGCACGGCATGAAGTGGCGGGATGCTCAAGCCAAGTGAGTGGAAAGAAAGCTATTCTTCAAACATATTCTTACAGTTAATGTAATATTTATTCTTCCATAGATATTCCGATGCTGAGCACGATTACGAGGGCTTCTATCTGTCTCACAGGTCTCACAATCACAAGCACACCGTCATAATGGCTTTGGTCTTGCCCAGCAACGGAATGATCAGCGATAGCAGCTCATCTGATGATTCCGATAGTCCCAAGGAGAAGAAGAGGTCAACATGTAACGAAAAGGAGATCATGTGCCAGGTTTACAGACCCAATACGGGTCTTCAGACGCGTCCGCAGTCGCTGTACGAGCTGGGGAGGAAGTATAGGAAGGTGCGCATGTTGGAGGCGAAGCCCCATTGGACAGAGCATTACAATAACTCAATGTATGCGTGCTCGCATGTGTTTTGGAATGGCAATTGCGGGAATGTTACTCAGGGCAATGAATGTGAGGTGAGTTTTTTTGGGGGGAAAATATTTATTGAAAATTTGGCAATCTGGAAATTACTTCTCTTTTTGTAGGTGGGCTTGCGTCATCGTTCCTATCACATCCTCACCGGCTACGTGCTCTGTGTTTGGAACCGCGTTGAGCACTTGCTGAATACAGTTTCCAACAGCAAAATTCAGTTGGTTCGGGTGAAGACCACGGACGATATGAATATAGTGGGCACCCTGATACCCAAGGACTGTTACGAGACGCTGATAAATGATCTGCGCAGCGATTGCGAGGAGCAGGAGGAGTTCAACTACTGCGCAGGGGCTGCTAATTTGAAAACTGATGAAGAAAAACTTAAATACACGCGACAAAAAGAAGAGGGAAAGGAGGTTCAAGAAGGAAGTACCTAGAAAGAAGTACCTAGGGAGAAGTACTTAGAAAGAAGTATCAAAAAACAAGAAAGAAGTTCCATGAAAGAAGTCCCAAGAAAAGAGTACCTAGAAAGAAGTATCCAGGAAGAAGTACCCAGAAATAAGTACCATAAAACAAATACCAAGAAAGAAGTTAAATGAAAGAAGTCCCTAAAATGAAGTACCTAGGAGGAAGTACCCAGAAAAAAGTATCAAAAAACAAGTTCCTATAAAGAAGTTCCAAAAATGAAGTACAACAGAATGCCACAATAATGTATGTTCCTTATTTTTTCTTATTTAAATAAAATGGCTACGTACGCAGGACGTACAATAAAAAATTTAAAATTGAAATTAGGGATTTAAAAAAAATATAAATAAATATTACAAATTATAAATAAATAAATTTATATTTTATAAAAATTAAAAAAAAAAAAAATTAATATAAATTAAAAAAAAATTAATATAAATTAAAAAAAATTTTATATAAATTAAAAAAAAATAATATAAATTTTAAAAAAAATTTAATATAAATTAAAAAAAAATTTAATATAAATTAAAAAAAAATTTAATATAAATTTAAAAAAAATTTAATTTAAATTTAAAAAAAAATTAATATAAAATTTAAAAAAATTAATAAAAATTTAAAAAAAATTAATATAGTTTATAAAAATAAAATATATTTAAATTTATTTATAAATTTAATATTTTTTATAAAAATATATATTTTCTTAACTTAAAAAAATGCAAAAGGTAACACAAAGTATATATTTTCTAGATTAAAGATCTCGTTAACCATAACAATACTTAACATTAGTAGATTATCGGCTTAAAAAACCAATACCTTTCCAATTATTTAAAGTCAAAACATAAATTCCCCGCACGTATTTTTGAAAACCGATATATACGTGTTATCGATAGCAATAAGCATGGCAAAGCAGAACTCCCACCTCTAGCCGGCTGGCCACTGGCCAGACAAGGACAGCTATAGTACCTGATTCTCAAGCAGCTGTTTAGCGGTTGTTTTCCTGCTTTCATAATAATAATTATTAGAAAATATAGCGAAAAATGCAAAGTACACGAAGCCATCGACTGTTGCTGTCCCTCACCCGCCGATTCCTGACCAACCGGACAGCAGGGCAAGCGTCGCCGCCGCCGCTATGGGCGAGAGGAGCAGCAAATGCTGCCACAGAGGAGCACACCACGCACTTTGGCTTTCAAACGGTTAGGGAAAGCGAAAAAGAGCAAAAAGGTGAGTGCCCCAGGTGTTCCCCAAAGGCCTTAGATCACCCCGTAATGTTTCTGTTACCTTGGGCCAGTGCACCAGGTGTTTGAACAGGTGGCCCAGTCCTATGACATGATGAACGATGCCTTGTCCCTGGGCATACATCGCGTCTGGAAAGATATATTTGTGGAACGCCTTGGTCCTGTGCATGGCATGCGGCTGCTAGACATGGCCGGTGGCACTGGTGACATTACCTTTCGTTATCTACGCTACCTGGCCAATCAACCGAATCCCAAGCAGCGCCTAAGCCATGTCACCGTCTCGGACATCAATCAGCATATGCTGGATGTGGGCGAGGAGCGTGCCAAAAGACTGGGACTCACGGCGGATAAGTTGCCCAATTCCACCATTGCCTGGAAGTGTGCCGATGCCGAGAAGTTGCCCTTTGAAAGTGATAGCTACACGGCCTATACCATTGCCTTTGGCGTAAGGAATGTCACAAGGGTGGATAAGGTGAGTAAGAGGTCTGGATTTATCTCTTTTCCTATATGTTTTTCTTTATGTCCAGGTCCTGGCCGAGGCCTATCGCGTGCTACAGCCAGGCGGTAGATTCATGTGCCTGGAGTTTAGCCATTTAACCAACGAGACAATGCAATGGCTGTACGATCAGTACTCCTTCCAGCTAATACCACCCATGGGCCAACTGTTAGCCGGCCAGTGGCAGGCCTATCAGTATCTGGTGGAGAGCATTCGGCGGTTTCCCAAGCAAGAGCAGTTCAAGCAAATGATCCAGGAGGCGGGCTTTGAGCAGGTTTCATACGAGAACCTCACCTTTGGCATGGTCAGCATACACTCTGGCTTCAAGTTGTAATGGAAACCAGTATGGTTTTTGGTTGTGGAATTGATATATTAACCATGCTGCGCACGTCTTTGGCCGGGAGCAGCTCATAAAGCATCGAGTTGAACAAGTATTTTTTGTGTTTATTTTTTTATATTTTTTGTTTTGTGTTTGTTTACCTGTGGGCTTTTCAGTCAGAAAAAAAAGAGAAGAAATATTACATGATGACATCTTTGCCAGCCACAAGGCCTGGGAAAGACCTTGAGGCTTTGTGCCAGACCCAAATAGATGCCTTGGCGATATGCTGACCCAGTATTCCAACCCCGAAGATCCGATTGAAATTCGCTGTCAGTTCTCCAAAAAAAAAAAAAAGTGAAAATCAATTGTGGGCTAATGGAAAGTTCATTTACGGTCGATCGGTCGGTCGGTCAGTGTGTGATATAATGTCTATATATGGACAAGTGTATCGGCGGATTTAGTGCGGGTGAAATTTATGCGTGTGAATGTTGAATGCTAACGAAAGGCCAGCGGTTAAATGTGGCATTCAAATGCCTTTAAAATGGATTATTGGTGGTGCCTTCAATCGGTAATTGGTAAGTAAGCAATGTCTGCTTTTATTATAATTATGCTTTCACCGGGAGAGAGGTTTTGGGGGATTTGAACCGGAGACAGCAATTTGCTGTTGAATATCAAATATATCTATTATTCTCTATTATAAATGTAATATTTAGGGTCTAGTCTCCAGTTTTAAGTATCTATATCAATCTAGAATGCAGTTTCTAGTATATCAGAATACAGGATCCATTATTCAATATTCAGCATTTAGTGTCCAGTATCCAGTATCCATTATCCAGTATCTAGTATCCACTCTCCAATAACCAATATACCATTTCCCTTATCCAACTTGCCGGTACATCTTGGCTGAATTATGTAAGCCCTCCCCTGGGTCTGTAAGGCCGCCAGGCCCGTAAAAGGAACGCTGGCATAGTTAAGCGCTTTTGATTCGTATCTAAATTGCAGCCAAATCATAAACCTTCGGCCCTCTCCGGCGGCCGAAAGTGAAAAGAGTCGAGGAGAAACACCAACCGGGTATTGAAAGCAAAAGTTTTGTGCGTGCACAAACGTGCCGCGCATGCGTAGGTGGCTGTCATTTCAGAGACTAAGACAGTGGAACGGGGATCTCTATAATAGGAGACAATATTTATAATTTTATTATTTATTTTAAGCAAAAAAACGCAAAAATTCTATTCATAGATCAATTTTTAATGCTCCAATTGCAAACTGCAAAATTATATAAATTTCGGTCTGCCGAATTTAGCTTCCCTTCTTGTTCTCTTCGGTTTATTCACGCTTTGAACCACTGTGCCTGTGCCTGGTCAGTGGCATTAGCATAATGAGGTGTCGTGCTTAGGGAATGGCTATGGGATGATACGGCAGGTGAAATGGCAGCGTAAAAGTCATAAACTGACCAACTGCCTTTGCCAATCTGCAGTGCATTTGCTGCTACCCAGAGACGAGAGCCACCACAAATGATGATGGCCACTTGGTATGCACAGTGGGTCGGCTGCGGCGGCCTCAACCACTGTGCAGCCGATGTCCGCTTTATAAATACAACAGCGACCAAGGAAGTTCATTTCATTTTCTTGGCGGCAATCGCTGCGTTGACATAATCACGGATTACGGATTACCTCCATCTCCTCCTCCGCCAAGATGCACTTCCTCACTCGCTCATGGAGTCCACTGCTCCTGTTGGCTTTCATCTTGAGCTTTGGCGGGGATATTGAAGCCTCTGGCTTGCGTCTTCGCCACTCGAGAAGATCCACCTCGCCGCTTCCATTGGTTAGCACGACGCCCACCACCACAACAGTAGCGGAGGAGGCACCGCCACAGACAGTCGTGGAGGAGAGTCCCATCCAGGTGACAGAAGCCGAACCCGAGGCGGAAATCACCACGGGCAAGCATAAGCGTGGCATACTGCATGCCGGAGCAGCAGCAGCAGCAGGTGGCCATTGGCCAGCTAGGACTTATGCTGCCCATTATGGCTATAGCCTGCAGTTGCCTGGAGGCAGTGCCTTTCTGACAGCAGTTCCCTCGCAGCGGCATTTCATCAAGTATGGACATGGACATGGGCATGGGCTGCGTCCCCTGGTGACCCAGGCTACGGGCTTGGGAGGTGCTCTGCTGCCAGTTGCTGGTGGGATTACTCCAGCTCTAGCGGGGGTCTTGCCTGGTGCTTTGCCTGCTGCTCTTCCTGCTGCTCTTCCTGCTGCTTTACCCACTGGAGTGGCTAGTGTTATACCTGGTGGCCTGGCTACTACCTTGTCTGGTGTTCCCGCGGCAGCGGCAGCTCCTCCCTCGTATATCCTGCGTCCTGGCAATGCTCTTGTCTCCTCGTACAGTGTCAACTATCCCCATCAGCATTTGCAAAAGCCGGTAGTGTTCCAAACGGCAGTGAAGCCTCTGCATTTCCATGCTCCTCCGGTACATGGTCATGGTCATGTCCATGCCGTGCAGGTGAGTCAAGTTTTGTTTTTTTTAGAGATTCTTTTGGGAATTCTGTGATATTTTCTTGTCTTGGTTTGCAGCCCACCTATGTCCAGGCCTTTGCTCCCACGGCACCCGCTGTGCCTGTCCAGCCTGTGCAGCCTGTCCAAAGTATTCCCAGCATTCCCACTATCCAACCTCTGCCACTGCAACCCGTTCAGCCGGTGACCCATATACAGCCTTTGCAACCTGTGACTCCTGTTCAGCCTGTCCAACCCACGGTGACCTTTGGAGTTCAGCCTGTTCAACCTGTGCAGCCTGTCCAGCCCCTCCAGCCTGTCCAGCCCCTCCAGCCTGTCCAACCCTCCGTAACCTTTGGCCTTCCTTCGCCACCCCCCGCTGTGGATGTCCCAGCAATTCCCCAATTTCCTGGAGTTCCCACCTTTAGTTTCCAGCCAGCTCAACCAGCTCAACCCGCTCAGCCAGTGCCCGCCCAACCAGCGATTCCAGCTAATCCCGAGGCACCAGAAGTACCCCAGATCCCAGCCATACCACAGGTTCCCCAGATACCACAGATCCCAGCCATACCACAGATTCCTCAGATCCCCCAATTCCCACAGATCCCCCAGTTTCCCAGCTTCCCGGGCTTCCCACAGATCCCGCAGTTCCCTCAAGCGCCTGCTGTTCCCTCGGTACCCTCAGTGCCCAGTTTTCCCAATCCTCCTCCCACCACCAATCAGTTCTTTCCGGCGGCACCACAGCCACCATTAACCCAGCAGCCGCCGACTTTTATACAGCCAGAGGCTCAGTTTCCTGGGGGAATTGTGCCACTACCAGGATCCCAGCCCGTTATCCCAGAATCTGGCACTGGCATAGCCTCCCCACAGATTCCACAGATTCCACAGTCACCTCAGCCCCAGCCACAACCTCAACCCCAGCCAGAGCCCCAGCCCGAGGCGGAGTTGCCGCCATTGCCCACCCAGAGACCCAGCCAGCAGCAGCCTTGGAAGCCTGTGTTCTACCAGCCACCCGCCGAATCCTCGCCCGCGTCGCCCAATCGTCCCTCGATCACGCTGCTGCCACCATATGGCAGTTCGCCACCAGAAGGTGAGAGTTAGATGGGGGTCTGTTCTTGGCTTGGAGTATAATCTTTGGTTTTTTCAGGCTACCTGCCACCCGTGGGCTCTCAGCCGTTGCCATTGAGCTCCAGCAGCGGTGGTGTGGGCAGCCATGGGGGGATCTTTGACCAGCTGAGCGATGCCGAGCTGGAGCACATCTTTGCCCAGGCCCATTTGACGCAGCAGCGTCACAATTACCATCACTACTAGGAAGCTTCGAGGGAATACTCTAACCTTAGGCACATTTTATCATTTTTTTTGTTTTTTTTTTTTCACTTTACGCTTTCTTGTATTTGTTACCTGTATTTGTAAATTATGTTTTAATATTAAATAAGTTATTTATCAACATTTATTTGGTGTTTTTGTGCTTTGTATTAAATTGGTGTATTTAAATTAAATTACAGCCTTTATCATATCAAATTCTTATTTTTTTCACGGATGGAAAATATTTAAAATATAATTTTATTTTGCTTGTGAAAGTAAACAAAAGTAAAATTAAATAAATAACTTAATAATATTTAAAAAATGATATATTTATATTTATTTATTATTTTATTTAGCTTGTGAAGGTTAAATAATATTAAAAAATGATATATTTATATTTATTTATTATTTTATTTAGCTTGTGAAGGTTAAATATTATTAAATAAATAATAAAATAATTTTTAGAAATAAACCACAGCCTTTGTCATGCCAAAATCATGCCTTTTTTCACGCAACTTAAATATTAACCCAAAGTTTACCCTTAAATAGCTTAAATAATATTAAATGTATATTTTTTTCTTTTCTTGTTTTCATTAATAGCCTGTTTCAGTATATTTTTCATGTAGGGAAATCTTTGCATTTTCCAGGAGCAATAAATCATTGCAAAATTTCCTTCTTTATCATCTAGGTTTTTTCCCAATTTTAAAAAAAGACCTTTTTAAATCCTTTTTAACCGCCCAGAAGCTTTTCCAGGGCTTTTCACCTTGAACTTGGTGGGGAAAACTCTCATGGCCCAGCCAGAGAGCTTTTCCGGTGCTTTTCATTCATAAATTCGCTGCGGAGCCGGCTTGGTGAATGAGTGCGCTGCGTGGGATTTGGGTGGAAAATGGGTGAAATTGGGTTTGGGGGAAAAGCGGCAGGAAAAGCGGGGCATGCCACATGCCACATGTTGCAGCTCGCTCGACTCGGCAGCTTGCCCACTTTTCCGCTCAGTTGTTTGTTATCGTTGGCGGCGAACACGCGGCGCTGCGGATGAAAAATCGAGCCGTGGAATCGGGGAAAACATATATCCATCGGCGCGATCTGTGATCGGTGTTGAAGCCCCGCTGCAAAGTGTGTGGCAAAGTTCTATTATTTTCTTAAAATTTTTTTTATTGTTTATGTGCTAAAATTAAATACGATTACGGTTAAATCGGAAGCAAAAAAACAACAGCAGGAGGAGGAGGAGCAGGAGGAGGAGCAGGAGGAGGAGAAGGAGTGTCAATGGCGATGATCATGCGTATGTGTCTTCCCGTCGGGAACAAAAAATAAACAGTTTCCGGGTGTTTTTTTTTTAGAGTAGATATATGCCAGATATTCGCCAGTTTATATTCGTATATATATATATTTTATCTACTTTATCCGTAAATGTTTGTTTTCCGAAACGAAAAATAACAAAAGCCTGGCCGGTCAAAGATCTGTTCTCAGATATTGGCCAGGCACTCCTTCGGGGATATAAACCAGAGATTTCGAAGGAATCCCAGCTGGAAGTAAAGTTAAAAATAAAAAAATATGAATCCTTACATAACAATTAGAAATAAAACAAATAATATAAAAAATATAAATAAAACAAACAAAAAGTAAGCGTAAATAATATTTATAAATAAAAAACAACCCATATTATTTTTTAATAATATTTATAAATAAAACAAACAACCAATATTATTCCTAAACAATATTAAAAAAAAAAAAATATTATTTTTTAATAATATTTAAAAATCAATCAACAAATATTGTTTCTTAACAATATTTGAAAAATAAAACAAACAAAAATAATTATCCGTAAATAATATTCATAAACAAAAAAACTAAACAATATAATTTAATTTCTAATATTTTAAAAATAAAAAAAAAAAAAAAAGTATTATTCGTAAATAATATTAAAAAAAACAATATTATTTTTTAATATTATTTATAAATCAATAGAATTATTCCTAAATAATATTTAAAAAATAGCACAAACAAAAAATATTATTTCTTAATGATAATTATAAATATAACAATCAACAAATATTATTCCTAAAAAATTTTTGTTAATAAACAAACAATAAATATTATTCCTAAAAAATATTTATAAATTAAAAAAAATTAAAAGTATTCTTATAAATAATTAATAAATTAAAAAACCAATAAATATTATTCCCAAAAAATATTTATAAATAAAAAACCTACAAAAAGTATTTTATATATTTAAAAGATAAAAAACATCCCAAAAAGAAATTCAAACAAATTCTAAAAAAAATATCTTGCTAAAATCTAGTAAATAATGAATATAAGCTCATCATATTTATTATTATTATTTATTTATTTTCAAATAAATCCCTGAAATTCCCAATAAAGTTGAAAAAGTTATAGCCATGTAAATCAGGCAAAAAAAGTAATGACAAAAAATAAGCAGGATTTGCAAAAGTTCAAAGAGAATGCACAAGTTTTTTTTTGCTTTTTTTACAAAGTATGTGACTTGCGGAAGGGCCTTCGAACTTAAATAAATACAATAAAGTTTGATTAAAGGTGGTTTACGAAGAGTTATTTCAAATTTAGAAATATACAAAATTAAAGTTAATGTTTTCGGAAGTATTTAAAAAATAAAAAACAAAATGGGAATGCAATTTAGGAATTTAACCCAAATATTCCTGCGGCCGATTTATATTTTATAAATATTATTACATTTATTTTGTTATTAGATTTGGTTTTTTTTTGTCTAATTTTTATTTTTTTAATATTAAATTTATCTTTTACTTAATAAAAAATGTTTCTAAAATTCGTAATATTTTTTTATTTATTTTTTTAAATAATTTTGTTTATATATTTTTTGTATAATATTTTTCATAATATTTAAAAAATTTTTTTTTTTTAAATTAAAAGTTCAAATCTCTAGGTTTAACCTTAACACAGTCTGTGTTAAAAAATAAATACATTTTTTTTTGTTATTTTCCCATTAAACCTATGATAGGTAAAATTTGTCCTAATTTAAATTTAATTACTAATTCTAAAAACCGAAAAACTTATAATAATCCGAACTAAAATTATAAAAACATTATTTTAAGGTATTCTAAAGCATAATTTAAATAATAATTTTTAAACCAATTTTAAACGTTAAATACAATTAAAATTTAGCTAAAAAACTTAAACTTAAAAGATTTTAAATACACTCTCTAATCAAAATGCAAAATCCCGAAAATGGGAACCAAGCCTCTGCGGCATATTTATAATTTTTTTTTGGTTGTATATTTTTAGTACAAAAATTTGTTACCCATCAGAAAAACTCGATTTTCAATTAAAATTTCCCATTGCAATTTGCATATTAATTTATGTTTATTAAATTGACAGTGGCGGCGCCCCAATGAGTGGGCATTTTATAGGAAGGGATTCCTGGCCACTGCCATTAAATTTGTTTGTAATAAAATGTCATTAAGTGTAAGTGCGTGGTGCCGTTTAGATTTATGAGCTCGAATGAATTTGCAAATCCCCCCACTGACGGGAAATGAGGTGATGTCCTTGCGGTAAGCCGGGGCGGAAAACCTCTCGAAATGGGCGCTGACCTGGCCTGACAACCGCTTGATGTCGCCCGAAAGTTGTGTTATTAGTTGTAACTCCCCTCGTTCTCTTTCTCTTTCTGGGGGCTTACACAAAGTCCAGCCACAGAATACACTTGGGGAAAAATTTGAGTTAAATAGATGTATCGATAAAATGGGGGAATTATCGATTGGTTAATTTTAAGGCAACTAATTTAAATTTTTTATGCTACTACTTTTGTAGTTAAAAATATGAAAAATGTTTTAAAAGTTATATAGAATTATCGATAATTTAACGATATAATGGCTATTGCTTTTTGGACTGGTATCACATATATTGTACATTTAATTAAAGAAAATTTGAGAGAATTTTTTAAATCTATTTAATTTTTTTTATGGTTATATTTTGTAAGTTAAAGAAATACAATTATATTACTTATATTATATCGACATTTTGTTGTATTGATTATTCTCAATATATTTGCTATTATTATTTATTATTTTTAAATCAAATTTAAGTTTTTGCTTAAACGAATTTTGAAATATGTTTTTTTATTGAATCCTATATTTTTAAACCATTTTAAACCATCGATATTTATCGATGTTTAATCGATTTTTATTCCTATTAAACTAAAAAGCCGAAATATTTATGCTTAATTTGATGAAAACGTTTAAATTTTATCTAAATACTGAAAATAATATTAAATATAAATTAGAAAGAAATCTGTTTTGTTGTTTCTTAAATTTTCTAGATTTTTTTTTTATATTTAACGATATATACTATCGATTTCTAATTCCTCTCAGTGCACATAGCACCATGGCCACCAGCGTTTATGAGCGGAGTTGGGGATTAACCAGGATCCCAAGGATCTGACCACACCTTTTAATTCATGCGAAAAAACCAGGGAGAGAGTGGGAGTGAGAGATGTGGCGCTTCAGAGATAAGCGGAATGTGTCAATTATGTGACGGAGATTTTCTCTCTTTTTATTCTCCCTTTGGAATTCAATTAAAGTCTTCTCTTTGGAAAATCTCAGCCAGGAAAAACTATTCAAGCAAGCTGCTTTTGATAATTACAATAAGCTTAGGGAGAGAAGAGACTTTTATCTTAGGTTTATGAATATAAAAAAGTATTCCCCAAGTCATGAAGCTTTTAATGTAATTCTTTCTAAGAAAAACTTAAACTAAAGACTAGAAAAAGTCTTAAAAAAAAACTTTAAAAATTATTTAAGAGCAGTAAAAATATTAGGAAAATATTTATAAACTCTGTTTCAACATAAACTTTGAGTTTCAACCAAAATCAGTTTTGGCTTTTTTGTAAAAGCGGAAAAAAACAAATTGTAACTCAGGCGCCCGGTTCCACCCATTTCCGGAAATGTGGGGAAAAACGTGTTGGTGGAAGCCGATTTTCCCCTTCACTTAAGAACTTGTCGCTGGCGGCCACATTCAACCTGAAAGTATGGACAAGAGATCTGGTCGAAGCTCCGGGTAATCCCCCCTATACTCTATACTC